CCTCAAAACGTAACTTTCACACCATTTTCATCTCACTCCATATCCACTGATGCTCCTCTTCCAATCCTCCTCCGAGTTCAAGCCAACGCTCACAGAGGAGGGTTTCTTGGATTCACCAAAGAATCACCCTCCGATCTTCACACAAACTCTTTGGGACGATTCGAAGACAGAGAGTTTCTCAGTCTTTTCCGATTCAAAATGTGGTGGTCGACGGCTTGGATAGGAAAATCCGGGTCGGATCTTCAAGCCGAGTCTCAATGGGTGATGCTGAAGATTCCTGAGATCGAGTCCTACGTGGCCATCATACCAACCATAGAAGGATCTTTTAGGGCTTCACTTAACCCTGGTGAAAAAGGTAATGTCTTGATTTCTGCAGAGAGTGGCTCTACTAAAGTAAAAGAGTCGTCTTTCAATTCCATTGCCTACATTCACATTTGTGACAATCCTTATAACCTCATGAGAGAGGCTTTTAGTGCACTTCGTGTTCATATGAACACTTTCAAGCTTCTAGAAGAGAAGAAGCTTCCGAAAATCGTCGATAAGTTTGGATGGTGCACTTGGGATGCTTGCTACTTGACCGTTGATCCTGCAACCATTTGGACCGGAGTTAAGGAGTTTGAAGATGGTGGTGTATGTCCGAAGTTTATCATCATTGATGATGGATGGCAAAGTATAAACTTTGATGGTGATGAGCTAGACAAAGACGCTGAGAATCTTGTTCTTGGTGGAGAGCAAATGACTGCGAGGCTTACCAGCTTCAAGGAGTGTAAGAAGTTTAGAAACTATAAAGGTGGATCCTTTATATCATCTGATGCGTCTCATTTTGATCCTCACAAGCCGAAGATGATTATCTACAAAGCAACCGAGCGAATTCAGGCGATTATATTGAGAAGGAAGTTGATTAAGGAGTCTGGAGAACAAGATCTACACGAACTTGATGAAAAGATCAAGACTTTGAGTGAAGAACTCAATGCAATGTTTGAAGTTGAGAAAGAAGAGTCTTTGGGTTCTGAGGATGTTTCAGGCTCAGGTATGGAGGCTTTCACAAGAGATTTGAGGTTAAGGTTTAAGAGTTTAGATGATATCTACGTGTGGCATGCTCTTTGTGGTGCTTGGAATGGTGTGAGGCCTGAAACCATGACGGGTTTGAAGGCCAAGGTTGTTCCTTTTGATCTTTCACCTGGTCTAGATGCGACAATGCCTGATCTCGCAGTCGACAAGATTGTAGAAGCTGGGATTGGTCTTGTTCATCCTTCTAAAGCTCATGAATTCTACGATTCGATGCATTCTTATCTTGCTAGTATTGGTGTTACAGGAGCCAAGATTGATGTGTTCCAAGTAAGTTGCTACATTGCTCTTACTCTGCTTTAGATACTCTGTTTTTCTTTACTTATATCATACATATGTTGTTGTTAATGTTGCTGTTGTTGTTTGTGTGTGTTTGGTTTTAGACCTTAGAGTCAGTAGCAGAAGAACATGGAGGACGAGTGGAGCTTGCTAAAGCTTACTACGATGGTCTGACCGAATCCATGATCAAGAATTTCAATGGAACTGAAGTCATTGCAAGTATGCAACAGTGCAATGAGTTCTTCTTCCTTGCCACAAAGCAAATCTCTATTGGCAGAGTTGGTAATATATATAAAGCTAAAGCCTTTTCTTTTGATTCCATTGTTTCCAGAAGTGTTTGAGCATTAATAAAAGTTTTATATTTTGCTCAGGTGATGATTTTTGGTGGCAAGACCCATATGGTGACCCACAAGGAGTGTATTGGCTACAAGGAGTTCACATGATTCACTGTTCTTACAACAGTTTTTGGATGGGTCAAATGATTCAACCAGATTGGGACATGTTCCAATCAGACCATGTCTGTGCCGAGTACCACGCCGCATCTCGAGCCATTTGCGGTGGGCCTGTCTATCTCAGTGACCATCTTGGCAAAGCCTCACATAACTTTGATCTCATCAAGAAACTTGCATTCTTTGATGGTACCATCCCAAGGTGTGTCCACTATGCTCTTCCCACTAGAGATTCACTCTTCAAGAACCCTTTGTTTGACAAAGAATCAATCCTCAAGATCTTCAACTTCAACAAGGTAATCAGTTTAAAATCAAATTCATTGTTTAAAGATCGAAACTTTATTAAAAACCCATATGATTTGCTGCAGTTTGGAGGAGTAATTGGAGCATTTAACTGTCAAGGTGCTGGGTGGTGCCCAAAGGAGCATAGGTTCAAAGGATACAAAGAATGTTACACGACAGTTTCGGGAACGATTCATGTCTCGGACATCGAATGGGATCAAAATCCAGAAGCTGCAGGTTCTCAGGTGAGCTACACCGGAGATTACTTGGTTTACAAGCAACAATCCGAAGAAATCCTTTTCATGAACTCAAAATCAGACGCGATCAAGATAACTCTAGAGCCATCCGCGTTTGACCTATTCAGTTTCGTGCCAGTCACGGAACTGGGAAGTTCAGGGGTTAGATTCGCACCGCTAGGGTTGATCAACATGTTCAACTGCGTCGGAACAGTTCAGGACATGAAGGTTACCGGTGATAACAGCATAAGAGTTGACTTGAAAGGCGAAGGCAAATTCATGGCGTATTCGAGTTTAGCTCCGGTGATGTGTTACTTGAACGACAAGGAAGCTGAGTTTAAGTGGGAAGAAGAAACTGGAAAACTCAGTTTCTTTGTTCCTTGGGTTGAAGAATCTGGTGGCATCTCTCATCTGTCTTTCACCTTTTAATAATTTGTTCGGATTTTGTTTTTCGTTTTCCTTTTCTTCTTGCATTGTGTGATCAGCAGAAGTTGGGTTGTCAGAATCTAAATTTCTGTTCGGTCTTTTACTTTTCAATTTGGAGACTTATTATTAATGGTACTAGGACTCCGGACCCCCGCGATGTCGCGGAGGAAAATATTTCAAAAATCGTTTAAAAAAATATCAAACAAAAATTAATAATAACGATGGTAGATGATTAAATGTTATAACGATTTATAAAATAAACTTAAAGTTTCAATTTTTCGTGAAATAAACTAAATGTTGCAATGGTTCAACTAAACGGTTGCAACCATTTTATGAAAAGTTACGATAAAAAGATGCAACCGTAAAAATTATTTACTCGAATTAAAATTTTCTTAAAACACATAACGTAAAATATTTTTTTTAGTTTAAAAAAAAATAAATGAAATGTTGCGATATATCAAAAGTTGCAACGGTCCGTCAAGTTTGTCAAATAAACTAAAGATTACAACGATTCGTAAAATAAAACCAAAAGTTGCAATGATTTGTCAGATAGACCAAATGTTTCAACGGTTCAATTAAACGATTACAATCTCATTTAAATAAATTTTGGTAATTAAAAATATTAATTTATGAAAAGTTATACCGAGAGACTCGACGGTAGATAATTAGATGTTATAGCAATTTATAAAATAAATCAAAGGTTGCAATTGTTCGTGAAATAAACTAAATATATAAATCAAATGTTGCAATTGTTTGTGAAATAAACTAAATATATAAATCAAAGCTTGCAATTGTCTACCAAAAATAACTATTATGTAAATAACATGACCGTACAAAAATAACTGTAAGAAAAACAACCATAAATATTTAAAAGAGAGGTTGCAATAAAAAGATGCAACCGTTCAGATATGTAAATGGTATTTATTGGAAAAGACATAACCGTAAAAAAATAACCGATTAAAACGAAAATTGCGATAAAAAGACGCAACCAAAATAACCGTAAAAAAATAACCGATTTAAACGAAAGGTTGCGATTAAAAGACGCAACCGTTCAGATGTGCAAATGGTATTTATTAGATTGCTATTATATATAGATTTAATATAAATGGATTTTCTGTGTCGGTTCAATTTGAGTTTTAGTTTGAAGATTTTTTTGTTCTTTGAATTTTAGTCAAATAATTCATTGTTAAATAATAAAGGTCAACATCATTGGTCAATTTTAAAAATATTATTCTAACGAATGTAAGTAAACTTTATTAGGTTTGGTCCAACATCATTGGTCAGAGATTGGTTCGATTTTACCCATAATTGTATTTGTACGATTGAGTATTAATTAATCTTAGAAAATTGATTTAAATATTTCTTGGGAGCAATCTGTTTTTTTTTTTTTTTTTTGTTTATACAAGAATCACTATAGCCAAAAGTTAAAAAAGAACTTGGTTTGTTTCTGTTTGTATCATAGTGAATGTTTAATGCAGGAATGACCCATGATGTTGATTTCTAGATAAGACAATGGGACCGTAACGGCTAATTTTTGTATAATACATACATGAATACATGTGTCTTTAACATGAACATATTGCCCAGTGAAACAAAAATGCAGATTTTTTTGAAAGATCTAGAGATTTTTTACTTACTTTTTGTTTTTGGAAAGATATATAGATTTTTTTTTTCCCAGTGAAATACAAAACATTATTCAGAGTTCAATAATTTAATCATGGATACCAGTGAGATACCACCAAAGGTTAATTAAAAAAAAAAAAACAACTAAGGTTAGAAAATTAAAAGAAGCTTTATCCATTTTTAGTGGTTTACTTTAAAACTAATAATTAACTGGTATTTGGTGTTTTTAATTTGCTAATTATTCTTATTTTTCCTTTCTCTGTTTTGATTTGCTAATTATAAAATTAATTAAAAAAACTCCATTGAAAAGAAAAACAATAAAAAGAAGACCCCAAAAGTCCATAGACTTCAAAAGTTTTCCACATTTTCAATTGGTTTCGGCGACATTACAATCCAAAAGACATTCTTGTGTGTTGTGTTTCTTTATTTTTAGTATTTAAAAAAAAAAAAAAAAAACACAAAACGGATTAAGTCGAGACACGAACAAAAAAGAAAAAAGAAAAATAAAAAATTTTGACCTTTATGAACCCTAATTTTGGGTTGGTCACTCTCTCTCTTTCCTTTCCCAAAATTGGATTCAAAGTTCTTCCTTTTTGTCTTCCTCGTACCTCACAGCATCAAGGGTTTTCGACATTCCCAGCTATTATGCTTGCTTCCGTGAGTTTTTAAAGGTTTCTTCTGGAGTTGTTGTCTGAAGGAATTTCTCTGTTTTCTTATCGAGTTTCGTTTTAAAGTTGTAATCTTTGATATGCTAGAGCTTTCTTTCTAGATTCTGGGTTTCATAAACAGGTTAATTTTTGTTGCATTCGTTCTTTGAATTGGAGAAAATATAAATAAAGTTCGAAACTTTTTTCTCGTTTGGCTTGTTCCAGAAATTAGAGGAATATGATTTTAAGGTATCACTGGTTGTTTGGTGGATTTAAAAGCTTAGGTGATTTGGTGATGTTTGGGCATTTGTGGGTTTGTTTATGCTTCTTTGCAGTTTTGTTGTTATGCTAATCTTTTTCTGGTATATATCTTGTTTATATGTTAGGAGGACACAAGGAGTTAAAAAGAGCAAGTCTTTTGAGCTGAGGAAGTTTCTATAGAGGATTATTTCAGGGGAAATTTAAGGGTTTGATCAGCTTTTGCGTTTGTGCGGGATGGATCAAATTGTTTCAGGAGAAGAAGAAGATCTTGATGTAGATATGGAAGATGGTAGATTCAATGAGACACAAGAGATAACGAAGAATCTTGTTTCAGCAGAAGGGGATTCAGAGAATGGTTTGGATCATGTTTGGAGTGGACGTTTGAGTTTTGATGGGTCTGAAAAGAGTGCTGATGATCTGGTAGACCCTTTAATGGGAGACGGAAAGCGGAGAGAAAGAAGCAGCCAAAGTTTGGATCTTTCGGATATGAAGTTTGATAATGTGAAGTTTAAGAAGACGAGAAAGCCTTCAAAGCCGCCGAGGCCTCCAAAAGGTCCTTTACTGAGTGCAAATGACCAGAAGTTGATGAGGGAAATCACGGAGCTTGCTATGAGAAAGCGTGCTCGCATTGAACGGATGAAAACACTGAGAAGATTGAAAGCAGCAAAGTCCTCGTCTCCCTGCAGTAGTATTTTCGCCATGATAGTGACGGTTATATTCTTCGTCTTCTTAATATTTCAAGGTAGACACCATTTGAAGTTCTGTTGATCAAGCTTGTTTTATTTTGCTGGCTTTGAAGAACCCAAAACTGCTAATGTTTGTTTGGTTTCGCATAGCTTCTATTGCGTTCTCCTGTTTTAGATTAGAATTTCTGCCTACAAATGAAACTACAAGCTGTTTATCTTTGGGTAATTTTTGCCCTTGATCAATCACACATTGCATCTTTCTTGTTGTAGCTTTGAAGATCATTGGTCACATGTTCTATTAGGTCTTTCTTTTTAGGTTCTATGTGTTTGTTCGTGCTTGTGGAATGACCAAATCTCCTGTTGTTTCATAAAACTCCCTGAATTTGTCTTTCTCTTTTGCAGGGTTCTTCACAAGCAATGCAAGTTTGAATTCAGACAATTCACCTGCACCAAATAATTCAGCCAATAACCGGATGGTCTCTGTTCAATTCTACAATGAGTTTGCTCCTCGTGAGAGAATCGATCCCAGCCCAACTACTTCTTTCAGGTGACATTCCTTCCTCATTTTTTCATCACGCTGCACGGAAACTTAACCCCGCGGGTCAGAGAGAACAGTTTCTATACAGATTTTAAGGAAGAATCAGAGAGCAATTTCTTCTTACTGATGTTTGTCTGTTGTAAATTTCAGGTATAAGAGAGTCTCAGGTGCAGACAATGAAGAAAACACAAGAGAAGTTACCAGATGAGTTTCTCTTCGGATTCTTGTAAAATGTAACCAAAAACACTACTTATGTTTTGTTTGTTCGTAAATTCTTGACATCACTCTAATGTTCCTTTGCTCTGTTTGTGTTCACATGTTTGTCTCTGTGTTACTCTTCTTGTATATATTCTATGGATGAATCTGCTCATTTTTTGTCCTTAGCTTCAAGGTTAGGTTTGTACAGCAACTGACTCTTATGACCCAAACAATGATGCTGATGCTGATTGATGATGTCTAGGCTTTTCATTGTTTGTTTGTTTCATGCTTCATTATCTGAAGATAGTAATGGAAATGATGATTGATAATGATAATGATGATTGATAATGATGATGATGCTAACATCAAATCTTTGATTGAATCTTTCTGGTTTTTCTATATCATGCTTTTAGGCAAAGAAAATAAACATTATATGAATAATTATAAGCCAAAGAATAAGAAGATAGGTTTGTGATATTATGTATCCGAGCATAGTTTTTTCTTCATAATGTCTGTTTCATAAAGCTTATGAGGAAAATGATAGTTTAATGAAGATTTTTGTTTTTAATTGATGAAAAAGACTAATTTTTCCTGGTAAATTTTCTCACAAGAATAAAAATGTTGTGACATATATACTGAAAAAGACAGCATTAGCAATTGCCAATTAGATTCTACATCATTTAACGGCCTTCACACTTTGACATTATTTCTGTATATTTTTATTTGCTTTTTTGTATAAAAGTATTCTACTACTTATTAACATTTTTAAAAATCTTTTTAAAGAGAGCTCCTACAAATTGATGTTTAATAATAATAAAAAGTGTATTATCAGCAATTTCTGTAAAATTAAAATTTCAAACTGTAAACTAGGAAAGGAGAAAAAGGGAATTGTAACTAAACTCAACCATACATCATTCTTATTATATTAATTTAAAACTAATAATAAACTTAGATGGAGAAATTTCAAAAATATTATTTTTCCAATATCACTTTAAAAAATGCTTACTCGCTAAAATTTTATCAAAATTGTCCCTAAAAATCTGAAATTTATCTAAATACGTGTGTAACTTTATTAAAGCATACACAAACTATTTCATATATGTGTGAAATCTATAAATATTTTATAAATAACGTATATGCACCATACAATATTATTGTATAACTGCCTTGTAAAATCTTATAAAATTTTATAAATACATGTATCGAGTTTCCAAGTATTAGTTATCTTATAAGCCTTATAAAACTTTATAAAATTTTCATATTTAATGAAAGGTATTATTGAAAATTGACATTTAAAAGGAGCATTTTTGAAAAGGGGTATACCAAAAAAGACATTTTCCAAACATTTCCATAAGATTACCATAACAAAAAAATTTTGTTACACTTTTTTTTAACAAAACAATTTTAAAATAAAACGAAAAACTATAATCTACTCTAGCATATATTATTTCGAGTGAACTTTTATCTATTCAAAGTCCTTTTAAAAATATTTAGGTTTTATTCTTTTAAAAATATTTATGTCTGTTTATTTATGTACTTTTCGATGGAAACTACTACTAAAACTTTTTTATGTTTTAAAAATATTAATGTATATATATAGATATATATATATATATATATATATTCCATATGCTTTTTAAATATTTTTAGGTTGAAAAAATAAATTAAAATCTCATAAACCAAATTAAAAATATGTTTGGTCTCAAAATGGACTCGTTCAATTCAAATCGTATCACCTCGGTTGGATTCGCATTGACTACTTCGTATGTATATCATCCGTATATGTAGCACAGTAGCAGTAGCACCTCTCGTTCGTCCTTTTCAATACATCTATTATTGTTCTTCTTCTTTTACCTGTTGATAAAAAAACAAAAACTAGATGTTCTTTTTAGGAAGGTTTTGATACTGGATAAGGACTAACGACATATGAAAGAAAATACAAAATCGAATTAAATTTCACCCATGTTGTGAAATTTTTCATATTTCAAAAACTAAAGTTGTTCAATTTTTTTTTGTCAAGGTACAACCTTAATCATACATGAAAAAGGCAATGTACGTACATTGCATGTTACATCTTTTTTTTTTTTTCATCCATTGCATGTTACATCCACTTTACGCGGATCATGCATTAAAATCAATTCGATCGTCGAAACTTAATTTAATTTTGTTGTAAGCTTTTGATCTTCAACTTCAAGCTTACCCATGCTGTTGTTCTAAGTCAACTCTTTCTCCAGTTCCTTTTTATTATTTTTCCTCCATTCTCTTTTTTTTCTTACGTTTATTTGTTTATTTCCTAAGGGTTTCCTTCTATAGGATCTTCAACTTCTATATATATGATTTTTTTTTTGTTTGGGATTTGACAATCAAACAACTTATACATCACATGATGAGTTACAGACTGTGTTTAGATTTGTGTCTTTACGACAAGGACACTTAAATTTTCTGGCCTACTAGTTAAATTCCTTAGTTTGGATATTACTAAATTCTTAGCGTGAACATAATGGTCTTAGTAGAAGATAAGATTGTTTTAGATTCTTAGTGTGAACAAAAGTTCTGATGTGTGATCCAAATATGACCAAATTAATCTAGATAAATAGTTTGTGTATATATTTGAGCTTAGGCTAACGAAAAATAATCAAACATTCAATTCGATTCACCTTATTTTCAGGATATTTTTAAGCAATCTGTTTTTTTTTTCTCTAAGTCGTCGCTTTTGGGATTCGATCTATTAAATCCTACTTAACAAAGTACAATGAAAAAAAAAAAAAAAAAAAAAAAAAAAAAAAAAAAAAAGTACAATGACTGAATGACGTACACAATGTAAATTCGTCGAGATGTGTCTTAATTTATTAACACCGACAGTTAACTTTATTATTTCGAAGTACAAAAGAATGATATGAATATTTTACCATTTGACCAAAGTTAAAAAATGAATAAAAATAAACTTAAGCTTGAAAGAGATCCCCCATCCCACGTCCACACCACACACACACCACGCAGTTTCTAAACGTGGTCGGCGACTCATTAGCATTCAATGCGTTTTAACTGTTTTTAGTTATCTTTACATTTTCAACATTCACTCATCATTTTTTTGTATTGTGCCCTTATTGAAAAGAGATTGTGCTCAAAAGACCAGCCTTACCAAGATAGGAAACATATATGGCCATGTAGGTTTTTGTTTAATTTGGAATTAGTTTGGGAAGTGCATATATAGATAATTAGATTAGTTATAAAATGTGCAATATTAATTGGATCTTAACCTTTATAGACTACATTCATTTAATTTAACAATTATTTTGGACCAACAATTGATTTTTTCCATATGCTTAATATTTGTAGGACAGTTTTTTTCTTTCTTGTTTTGGTGTCAAGACTCAAGATAATCTAATTTGTAGGTACGTGGACCCTTTTAATCTTCCTTCTTGAAGACAACCGATAAATGATAATACGAAACAAAAACTCGACTTTTCCTAACACATCAATTAATGATTCAATATATGTGTACTAGTCGTATGATTTCTCTATCATTAGTTTTAGTTTCCTAAAATTAAGTTCTTGTCATATCAAACAACAAAAACAAGTTCTTGACTTTCTAAACATTTAATGAAACATCCCAACTTGTAGATATAATAGTAATCAATTGTAAATAAAAGTAGGAATAACCATTCCAAGAGAATAATACGCAATATTAAACGGATCTCCATCACATATATTTTATTGTTTGGTTATGCTTGTAAAAGTACATATATGTAATGACGTTTCAGTTTCGCTTTGTTAAAAAATGATGCTGATATTTGAATACACACAAGTGGAACAATACTTGTAATCACGTACTTGGTTATGTGTGTTAATCTCCGATTATACACTAACTTTGACTCGTGTTATTTTATTTAACACCACAAATAATTCTACTTAAAGTATAATTAAAACAAACAAAAAGCTTTGACTCATACTCTCGGCGAATAAAGTTTTGGTCTACTAGTCATACACGCGTATACTTTTCAAATATACTATTCACATGTTCACCTGGTAATCTCATTTAATGTGTATAATCATGCAAGCTGTACGTTAACGATCAATGGCAATTTCTTGTAAATTTGCAACACGTTTATGGGTATTTTCGTCATGGTTTTGTTATATAAATACCCCCTCAATTGCTCTCCAACATGCAGTGTCTGAAACCAAACAAAGAAAATACAACGAAAGAAAAAGAAAAGTTTTTAAAAAAGAAAAGCTTTCTGCAAAACCAAAAATGTCCGCTAAGATTTCAATATTCCAAGCTCTTGTCTTTCTATTCTACCGGTTTATCCTCCGGCGATATCGGAACCCTAAACCAAAATACCAAAATGGCCCTTCTTCTCTCCTCCAATCTGACCTATCACGCCACACATTGATCTTCAACGTAGAAGGAGCTCTTCTCAAATCCGACTCTCTCTTCCCTTACTTCATGTTAGTAGCATTCGAGGCGGGCGGGGTAATAAGGTCAATTATCCTCTTCATTCTCTATCCATTGATAAGCTTGATGAGCCATGAGATGGGTGTCAAAGTGATGGTAATGGTGAGCTTTTTCGGGGTCAAAAAAGAAGGTTTTAGAGCGGGGAGAGCGGTTTTGCCTAAATACTTTCTAGAAGATGTCGGGCTCGAGATGTTCCAAGTGTTGAAGAGAGGAGGGAAGAGAATCGGAGTGAGTGATGATCTTCCTCAAGTTATGATCGAAGGGTTCTTGAGAGATTACTTGGAGATTGACGTTGTGGTCGGGAGAAAAATGAAGGTCGTTGGAGGTTATTACTTAGGGATCATGGAGGATAAAAACAAACATGATCTTGTCTTTGATGAGTTGGTTCGTAAAGAGAGACTAAACACCGGTCGTGTTATTGGCATCACTTCCTTCAATACCTCTCTTCATCGATATCTATTCTCTCAGTTTTGCCAGGTCAGTCACTTTATTATTTATTTGTTTGCGTTTACGTTATTCGTTTACAATTTTTAAAGTATTTTTTTGATAAATTAATCTTTTTGAAAATATTAGAACGAGAATGTTTTGACTACTGAATATTGAAGCTGCCAAGAAAAAACTAATATATATTGATATCTATATATGACTTGTTACAGTTAATATATCATGACCTATAAGTAGTAAAAAGCGACATAGCATATTAAATAGTTATAGACTTATAGTAGTGACGGTGAAACACGGACAACTTGCCTGATTGCGAATATGAAATATTAACAACATAAACGTCAAAAATATTAACAACATAAAAAAGGAAACAAAGAAAAAGAACAAATCAAGGCCTATATTATTAAATACGAATAAGAAGCGACGACACATCCTGTGTGGATAGTTATTAGTATGACAGTGAATATATCTCATGGATTTGAATCTCAATACCTGTAATTGATTTTTGTTAGGTGCTTTCATTCATTGTTTTCATGTTGCACTCAACTGATTTTTCTTGTCCTTTTCTCTCTATCAGGAAATTTATTTCGTGAAGAAATCAGACAAGCGAAGCTGGCAAACCCTACCACGAAGCCAATACCCTAAACCATTGATTTTCCACGATGGCCGTCTCGCAATCAAACCAACCCTAATGAACACTTTGGTCTTGTTCATGTGGGGTCCTTTCGCAGCCGCAGCCGCAGCAGCAAGACTCTTCGTCTCTCTTTGCATTCCCTACTCAATCTCAATCCCGATCCTCGCCTTTTCCGGTTGCAGACTAACCGTCACTAACGACTACGTTACATCTCAAAAACCAAAATCAAGTCAACGCAAAGGTTGTCTCTTTGTGTGTAACCATAGGACTTTGTTGGACCCTCTCTATGTTGCATTCGCCTTGAAAGAGAAAAACATCAAAACTGTAACGTATAGTTTGAGTAGGGTATCCGAGATTCTGGCTCCGATCAAGACGGTGAGACTTACCCGTGATCGGGTGAGTGACGGTCAAGCCATGGAGAAATTGTTGACCGAAGGAGATCTCGTGGTTTGTCCTGAAGGAACCACCTGTAGAGAACCTTACATGCTTAGGTTTAGCCCTTTGTTCACCGAGGTTAGTGACGTCATCGTTCCCGTGGCTGTGACGTCAAACGTGACCTTCTTCTATGGTACAACGGCAAGTGGTCTTAAGGCCTTTGACCCGCTCTTCTTCCTCATGGATCCTTATCCTACCTACACCATCCAATTTCTCGACCCTGTTTCCGGTGCCACGTGCCAAGAGCCTGATGGGAAGTTGAAGTTTGAGGTGGCCAATCATGTTCAGAGTGAGATTGGGAAGGCGTTGGATTTCGAGTGCACAAGTCTCACTAGAAAAGACAAGTATTTGATCTTGGCCGGTAATAATGGAGTAGTTAAGAAAAATTAAAATTGTTTTTAGGTTTTGAGTGAGTGAGTTGAGTTCTTTGGATGTAAGTAACCAATCGATTATTTCATTTGTTTATTAATAATGTCTACGTAAATGTAACTACAATCTTTTTTTCTTGGTAATGTACACATATATCTTTATGTTTTATATCATATCCAAAATCTTTGTCAGACAAATTTGCCTTTTGCAGTTCTAGTGCATATATAAACAATGGTCCACAAATAATGAAACCAAATCATCTATATAAATTTTGAACAAGTTGAAAGCTGTTATTAAATTTATATATAGTTTTGGTTGGCACATGCATCATAAATGTTTTTAACGGTCTAGCCCAAATAATGTAACCAAACTTATTGTAAATCATGAATACAAGCATGAATGGCCTTGTATGTATAATGGCTGGTTGGTTATAAATGTGACCTATAGTTTAATTTTTCTTTGTCAACTAATAGTTTATTTAATCTTAATTATCTAACCTTTTACATAACTATGGCAGATTCGTTGGTCAACACATATATTCTATATATCAAAACGTAGAGTTATTCGTTTACGTTCGCTAGGGCCTAGGGCTCTAGTAGTCTAGTAGAAACCACCATGTGAGCATGTGAAGTGAACAAAAGAAAATTTTTAAAATACCGTCGATAAAAAGTTAGTCTTGAATTATAAAAATCAGTTACAAAGTACAAAATGATATAGACTTTTTAGTCATTGGTTACAATTTTTGTATGTCTATACTATAATAATGAATGATATGTTATTATATTTCGTCTTAAAAGAAAATTAAATTTGTACAGCAGAAATCATTTGTGTTAGTCCCCATATGGAATTGGACAGAATTAAGATATGTCTGTGGTGGGTGGTGACTGGTGAGGCCATCACTGTCGCATTTTTATAACAACTGTGTTGGAAGAGGCAAAGTCTTATAAAAACAAATATGGATTGGTCCAACATAAAAGAAAGGTCAAACTCAGGTAACTGACACGTGTCTTCGTTCTTTTAAATGGATTGGGTTGTTCGTTGAAGTAAAAGCCATTTATGTTGATCGGCCCACATTTGTTGGGTCCACTATTGCATTTTCTGATCTGATCCTTTAATTAAAAATATCCTTAATTTCAGGGACTATTCCGCAATTTATCGATTCTTCTCCATCGTGCTTCTGATTTTTTTTTCTTTAATGGATCAAAATTATCAAAATCTGAACGATGATAATGGCTTCTCTCGCGACTTCCATAAGCGGAAGTTTCAATATTCTGGTTTCATCATCTTCAACAAGAAATGGGTATCCTTTAATCTCCTATCAAAACCCGAGATTCGTCTGGTTTGAGAATAGAAGCAGACCGATCTCTAGAACGGCGATTTTGCGCCGATTTGCGATAAGTGAGTCGAGCCAAGGAGAAAAGATATCACCTTTAGCATCTGGTGTATCGCCGGGTTTATATTCTGCTCAGACTTTTGAATTGACGCCTCAAAATGTTGATTTGGTGCTTGAGGATGTGAGGCCGTTCTTGATCTCCGATGGTGGAAACGTCGACGTTGTCTCCGTTGAAGATGGAGTTGTTTCTCTTAAACTCCAAGGTTAAGCTTTTTTCTTTTAGTTGCCTTTCCGAAACTGCTGATTTTGGAGTTAGGTTTTACTGATTTTGTTCGAAGAAGATAGAAACTTTTTGGGGTTTGAGTTGTTGGAATCTATCATTGATCAGCCTTTAAGGTTTTCTATTCTCTATAGAGCTCTGGATTGGAGCTTGAGACAGGAAAACTTTATGTAACATCCTGGCTTATTACTGTTCTTGGTGTAGTATCCTATAGTTTTGGTCTAAATCTCAAGCCTTTTTCCCTTTTAGAGTGCAAAGAGAACATCTGCAGGAGCAATTGTGCTCTCATGTTATGTATTTGAGCTTATGTTGAATTGTGTTGTATGTATGTAGGAGCATGTACTAGTTGTCCAAGTTCTTCAACAACCATGACAATGGGAATAGAGAGGGTACTCAAGGAAAAGTTTGGAGATGCTTTGAAAGATATTCGACAAGTTTTTGATGAAGAAGTAAATCAGATAACCGTAGAGGTGAGTGAGGCTTCTTTTAAGAAATTCGCTTTGATATCGTTTTCTGTGTTTGCCTTTGATTGATTTTGGCCTTTTGGGTTGCAGGCAGTGAATGCTCATCTTGATATACTGAGGCCAGCGATCAAGAACTACGGCGGAAGTGTGGAAGTTTTATCAGTTGAAGGCGAGGACTGCGTTGTAAAATATGTTGGACCAGAATCGATTGGAATGGGAATACGAGCAGCTATTAAAGAAAAGTTCAAGGACATATCTAATGTAACCTTTACAAGCTAGAAAGCATGAAGAAACTCACTATATTATGTAAAAACATTATTGTTCTTTGCTTGAGCTAATGTCCACATCAGTAGTCGTCCTCTCCATAACTGTCCTGAGCCATCTTGCCAGGTTGATCAAGAACGGTGTATAGACAAAGTAGCAAGTTGTTGTCCAAGTAACCAATCCCTTCACCAGAAAACAAAACAAAAATTACATAAAACATGTTATGTTTTCGTTTAAAGATATCTAATAAACACTTTTTACCTGGCCGAAGATCTCTATGTTTGCTTCTGGATAGTACCACAGATGGAAGAATCTGTTAAATCAGGTTATGTCAATCTTTAGACTCAATTCTGAAAAAAAAAACGGGGTGATTGAAACGTGCGGTTTACTTACTGCATGATGGGGATTTCAGCTAAAGAACAGGCAACACCGAGGAGAGTGGCAATGGTGAAGCCAAGCCAAGTTCTATCCAAAGAGAACCAAATAAATTCTGCTAAGGCAAATAGAATGTAAGCTTCTATGTTGTCTGAAACTCCAGCTTTGTACATTTCAGCACTTAACTCTAAGAACACCACCAGTGCTCTGTTTCATTTACCAAAATCATATAGAGAGTTTCACTTCCACTGTCCCAAAACTGTTATACACAACTATACAACAACTAGAGACTAGAGTACTGCATACTTACAAGAGTGAAATTATGGTTTTGTCCAAGTTGCCACGTGGAGGCTTTATAGAGGTTGTCTCATCCAATAGGAGTTGTAGTAAACCTACTGTACAATAAAATAAGCCAAGCAAGAACGGGACCTGAAAAAAACACATTACAAGATCAAAAACAGAGAATGTTTTTGTGAAAGGATATTAAAGTTGTGGGTTTTTTTTATCTTACCCAGATGTTTGTATGAAGGGGACCGATTTGAAAAGCTCCGTTTTGGTAAACCACGAGATCAACACGTGAGTGGAGACCATCGAGGAGAGGACCCAAGACGAAGCCTGAACCAAAAAGAGAGAGACTTACTGGGACAATCCAAGATTTTCCGGTACCGGTTTTGCTCTGCCTCCTCTGGCTCAGGCAGAGGATTTTTCGAACCGGTGACCGGTTTGGCCCCTTTCGTTTTAGTGGTCTGATGAGAGTAGTTGAAGGAGAAGATATCGCTAAGACAAACATCTTCCAATCTGATCCATACAAAAAAAAAAATTGAAGGACCTGTTTGAAGAAATGGTTTTAAAAAAACAAACCGAATTGAACTGACTCTAACCGAAATGAAATTACTCAAACCGAAACAGAACCAAAACTAAACCGATATTACAGAAGACTGAACTTCGGTTCTAATTTGTTAACTTCATAGAAAAAAGAAGTGCCAGCAATGCCTCCATGTGGTACATGGATGCCTTGCTTTGTTGTGGCTTGTTCACTAGGTTGCTGCTGTTTTTTATTTAACTGTGATGGCTTGGTGGTTTGATTCAAAGGCACCAACTAAACATCGTTTGTTGTTGAGTCTCCATAGGAACCACTGAAAGATCATTGTTCTGTTCAAAAGACTGATGATATGGCTGACTATAATGCTGCTTCCCTATGGCTTTATTCATCATAGTTGGAAGCTGTGAAGAGAGATGTGTGGCTTGTCCAATAATCTTGTTTTGTTGTTGCTCCATTGAGAAATGTTGATGTTGATCACCCAATATGTATTGTGTCTTCAAAGCATTGTTGTTTCAGATTACCAAAATAAGAAACAGAGACTTCAGTTTTTATTAGGAACAGAGTTTCGAAGTCTGAGAACCAGGACAGATGTTTCTGCATAACATAATTCATGTACAGTTAAAAACACATCTTGATCGATTCAACAGAGAAACCAAACACAGACTCCATTCATTTTTATTCGCAGAAATTAGATCTAGAGACCGAAATGATAAACACCGTTCTTGCGCTCTGTTTGTTTCTAAGACGGTGAAAGCATATCACCAGTCATCTTCTCTGCTTTCTCTCCACGCTCACCTGAAAATGTTTTATCAAACATTAACAGACATTTTAAGGCAAGCCAAGATTTGAGTCTTTCTTTTAAGAAGAATAAGGCTTTTGAAGTTTTAACCTGTTCGAACTCTTATGACATCTGACACAGGTATAACTGTATATAACCAAACAAGAAACATTCACAATCTGAGTAATTTCATTTTGCATTTTGATGTATGAAACATAAAAATCTGATTGTGAAAAGAGTATGGTTACCGAAAATCTTGCCATCACCAATCTCTCCTGTCCTTGCTCCATCAATTATGGTGTTGATTACAGATTCCACCTGCAACAATAAAAAAAAGTAATGGTTCAAACTCGAAGTTCGCTTTAAAAGTTGCTATTTTTTAAACCATATACGTACTTGGTCTTTCTTAACAACGATTTCCATTTTAACTTTAGCAATAAACTTGTCTTCAGAGAACTCAGAGCCTGCAAATGCAACAATGTGTATAGAAAAGTCATGAACACATTTCGACATAGAAGAATCATCGAACTAATTCTTGAATTCGATGTCTTACCACCATGTCTCTCGGTGGAACCACCTTGTGCACCAAAACCTCGAACATCAGAAACAGTAACACCTCGTATTCCGATTTTCAATAGCGCCTTGATTGTTTGCACGTTTATTTATGAAACAGAGAAACTCAAGATTTAGTTGGATTTTTCATACTCAATGTATATTAAAGTAACAAGTATCTACAATAACTATGAGAACCATAAACCCTTCAATTCAAATTAACATTTCAAACACTAGAGAAGCGAAGATTTGACCAGTCCTATCGAGTTCACTGACAAAATCCGATCTTCGCATGCATCGCTAAGAACTTCTACTCTTACTTATTAGTCATTTCTAGAGTATTCAAATCCACATTTCAAACAATATAGACTCTTTCTTGGATAACAACAACTAATAATGAAAAACCTCAAGTAATTAGCAAAGTTCAAATCTTTTCACATATCAAACTGAGAACAAGGAAGTTTTTTTACCGATGAAACTTTCTCGAGACTCCATGGCCTTTTATATCCCAACATTCATACATGAACAATGAAGAAACCAGTCAGGTTTAGTTATAACTTAGAAAAACAACCAACATTGTCACAATTATGAGCTTTTCTCAATTATACCACAATGTGTAAAAGCTTACCTGACAATTGCTTCAACCTTGTAAAATTTTGAGTCTGGAATATAATCTACAAAATAAGATTAAAAAAAAATGATATGAACAAACCCAATTGATCGAAAAAGGATCAGAGACTCATTTTTGTTGGCTTACCAGAAGAGCTTTGGGCTCTAACGACAGGTAAAACACGAGTGTTGTTACTCGGTGATTTCGTGACCAAATCGAGGCAAGATGGTCGAGAATGTCTGAATCCAGAACAAATCGAAATGCAATCAGAGAAAGCAATGTTCTTTCGATCAGAATAGAAACCGAGAGATGTTATTGAGATGGGTTTTGTCATTGAAGCCGCCATGATTGTTTGAGAGTTTTCTCTTTACCAAACTGATTTCGACCATCGAAAGCGAAGGAGGAGGTAATTATTGCAAGTAAAACTTCGAAGTTGACGACGAGTCGGTTTAGCTGATAATACCGGTTTAGTAAAGGAATTGATTCCCGGTTTGTACCGGTTTAGTATCGAATCAAGTCTGCTTTGAAGTTACGATTTTTCGATCTCACAGGTGAAGAGGTGAAACAAAAATGGCTGAGGAAGAGTTCATATACAGAATCAGTACGGAACAAGAATGGGAAGAGTTTCAGAAGAATGGATCTTCTTTTGGTGCAGAGATTGATAAATCAACTTGTTATTATCATCTCAGCAAACTCGATCAGGTCTCTCTCTTAAGATTTTTCTCATAAAGATCTCAACTTTTTCATCTGGGTGTTTACGAAATGATGAAGAATCTCGAAAATTTGCTCCTTTTTTTTTAAGCTAATTGCTTTAACCTTGTGAAAGATTATTACTTTAATGCAGATTTTTGCTCCCTTTTGCGATTAAATTGCTTCTTGGGTTTCTAGGTACAATTGACACTGAAGAACTTTTTCTTGAATGTTAAGGAGGATCTTTACCTTCTTCAAGTCGATCCTAAGAAGGTTTGTTCATTGATGTTGACTCTTTATCTTTAATTTGATTAAATATGACCATTTGGTATAAGTGATCCTCTAGTTTGGTGAGTGGTTGATATAGTAAACGTTAGTTTATTGTTTGATTAGCTCCACGTTTAAGTAAATAAGCAAATTAGCAAAAGTGGGTATGAGATGAAAGCAAGAGACTTCTTAAGCCTGCATTGTCATGGTATGAGTGTGTACTCAGTGATGCTAGAGTTGGTTATGTGTGATTCGAGCTAGAGTCGGTGCAGTTTTACCAAGCTGCATCAGACTAACACATTGGAAGTAACAGAACCATTATCTTAGGATGGACATTGATGTAAAGTTCTTATAAAATGGTTATTTGAATCCTGAAGGAAAGCTTATTCTTCAATGATGTTTCGGATTCGTACATATAAGTCTTGTATATATACCCTTTTACTCAATCACATTTTATGGGCTGAAACACAAGAGATTGACATCATCTTTTATTTTGGTTTACGTTCTATTTTTGCAGCTTGGAGATGGATTGGTCTATGAAGCTGTGGATGAAGTGAATAGCTTCCCTCACTTCTATGGTCCAGACAAAACCTTCGTTCCTCTCCCACTAGATTCTGTCGTCAAAGCTGAGAAGTTAACCTTCACCAATGGAAATTTCACCTGCAGCTTCTTGACTTGATGATTCACTGGTTTATGAGTAATTAATTGCAATGTCACTCTTTCAATAATGTAATTAAGAAAGTTTTCTTCTTATTCACGAAACAGAACAAAAAAGAAACAGAGTGTATTACTACAATGCAAGATTAAGATCTAGACCATTATCTTTTCTTGTGACCTTCTCTACTTCTTCTTCATCATCATCTTCTTCTCCTTCTTCTTCGTCTTCTTCTTCGTCTTCTTGCTTCTCTTCTTCTTGGTTCTTGGTGGGGATAATCGAATTCGATGGCTTTAAGTTTAAGTCCATACAGTGAGAAAAATCTTCAGCACGGAATACAGGAACAATGCCGTAGTCGGATCTCTTGGTTGGAACGGAAGCAGTGTCGCCGGAATCTTGAGTTAAGTCTGGTCGTCTTCGTTTCTTAGCATCCTGGTAGTTTTTGATGAGATTGAAGAACATCTCCATCTTCTTGTTCTCCAACTCTTCTTCTTCGTCTTCATTGATCTCGTTGATCCTCTTCTTCTCTGTATTTTCTTCTTCTTGGTTCATTATCGCCATTCGATCGGGAAGAAGACGAAAGATTTGTTTTTGTTTCTTTTCTTTGGTAATTTAGGGCTTCGAGGAGAAATGTTTATTAGGTGATGGAGCTTTTAGTGAAAAAGACTAAAATGCCATTTATAATCTCCAATTTTTAACTTTGGAGATTTTAGAATAAAAACATATATGGAAACCAAGAAATTTCCCTAAATAAAAGAATATAACCGTAACTTTTTAACGACCAACTAAGGTGGTGTTATTCATTGATGGATTTTAATAGAATTGAAATCCAACACTAATCCAGTGTTATTCAACTAATGATTATAAATCTAACGTTAAAATCTGGTGTTATTAGATCTTATACTTCATTAGATTTTAAAAGTTTGGTGTTATTCAATGGTGGAGTTAAAGTCAATTCTTTAAGGTTTGTAAAATCCAGTGTTATTCAAAACTAAAAGACTTGTAAAATCTTTGTATATTAAGTCATTTCAAATGAAACCTCTTTGGAGTTTCATGAGTAAATTATTAGAATCAAAATCCAAGATATACGGCAGAGATTTTGAAATCCACACAAACAGATTCTTAAAACCAATATGAGAAAGCAAATCTAAACCTTAAAGAATTGACTTTAACTCCACCATTGAATAACACCCCCTAAAAATAGTGTAAGTTAATTAACGAAAGTCATTTTAAAACAAGTTCTATATAGTCGGATAATTTATTCATTAGTCCATAATTTCTGTTCATCGTGAAAAACGTGACCAGGGTCCAGGGGTAATAAAGTAAAAAGACAAGTCATAAATTGAATACCTATGTGGAATTGCATTGTTTCTTACTTTCTTTGGTCTAAAAAAGACTGTCCTACTTAAATCATTGACGAATGCGTTTACTTTTCGTTTTTTAGTCACAAGTCTTGTCTAGAAATACTTATCCAACGTGAAGGAAAATGCTTGTTATTGCTTTGAATATTTTAACGATCCAAAACGTGAATGTTGCGCAGGAAAGTGAAACTTTTAAAAGTATTAGCCAAATTCTTTTTTTTAAGCATCTTCTTTGATAGTGAACCATAGAAAGAGAAAAGAAGCATAAAAGCCTTAAAGATTAACAGAATTAGAGAAGCATAATCAGTACTGGGTTTGAATCAAGGCCCAAATCTTGTTGCAGTTTTTAATTAGGTACCATAGAAAAGAGAAAAAAGCATAAAAGCCTTCAAATTTTTGTAAATCCATAAGCGTTATCGTATCTTTTTAAGTTTGTATAGTTTTTCAAATAATTCCACTAAGTTAAAAAACTTTACACAAAAATAACTCTCTTATTCATTCACTAATCAAATCACGGTGATCCACACCTCCCTGAAAGACCACTTAACAACAACGTCGAAGGATTCGATTTGAGACACGAGATCAAAGGTACGGAGAACTCATCTGTGATCCCATACGCATTCCAACAGAAGGGATCCACAACAATATCTTTTTTCGAAGGTAACAATTCGATATCCGAAAGCGTTAAGTTTGTGCAAGGGACGTTGTTGCTGCATCCAAAATGCATAGGGGGGCTACGGATATCGTATGTCCCTTTTATACTTTGATATACTATATCATTCACAAAAACCGCCGATGTTTTGTTAGCACAACTTTTAGCCGTGCAATAGTATTGATCGATGATTATCGGATTTCGGACAGTATCTACATGGATATTGTCAAATGTTACACCCGAAACGGACCCGGATCCACCTTGCCATGTCTTGATCCGTACTCCATTTTCGGAAAATTTTATAAACGAGTCTCTAACCGTAACGTTGGAGACGCACGCATGTGAGGATTTTTCTCCCAAACTTCCAATGCTACAAAATCACAAGATTATGTTATTAGTAATGAATATTATAAAATGTTAAAAGCTAAATTATAAATCACAAGTAACTTTTACCTAATTCCATGTCCGCCTGGTCCACAAGTGAGATTTCGTATATCGATATCATATGATCCAGGTCCTATCGAGACACAATCATCTCCTGGTAAAAATTTCAAAGAATCTTAAGTTTTTTTACACTTTAATTAAATACATTAAAGAATGATCGAAGTCCCTATCAAATGTCTAGAATTATGTCTAAAATGTAAAATACCTGTTTAAATAAGTTTCAAAACAAGTTAGAAGTTGTGGTGTTTTTTTTTTTAAGTTGCAAATTAATTTCCATTTATAGACAATTATTAGATGTGTATATTGAATGTATACCGTTGGAGATGACGGAGTTGTAAACCTCAACGGAATTGGAGTTCTCAATGTGGATACCATCGGTGTTGGGACTTGACGATGGAGATATGATTCGAATGGAGTTGATGTGAACTACATGACATCCGTCGAGTTTCAGGTGAACCTGTGGGCTGTTTTTTATACTCAGGCCTTCCACAGTTAGATTCGAGCTCATGAAGAACCTCAAAGCCTAACCTCACCAAAATCAATGCACATTATTCAACATTAGATATGAATAATAAAGTTATAAGAAACATATACGTAATCTTTCAAATGTTTGGTTTTTTACTTACGGTGGGACTTTCGCATGGACCAGCAAGTTTAGTTTTGTTGACATTCTGCTTGAACATATTAAGATTCACAGGTCATATATACACATGATTAATAGATTATATAATAAATATTTTGATTTTTCAAATCATATTACTCATAGAATCTCTCACTCTTTAAATTATTATGATTAATTTTAAAATGTGTATTAGCGAGTATTTACCCGATGAGGTTTGCAGGGAAGATCCCACCAATTTTGTCCACGACCGTCGATAACTCCGGCGCCTTTTAGAGCCACTCCGTTGATTCTATAAAAGGCGAGCCATTGTCTTTTGTTTAAACTGCTTGGCCACGACTTTGGTCCATCCCGTGGCACGATGGTCCCGTCAACCTTTATTGTTTTAAGAAAATTCAATAGAAATTAAACCATTAGACCCAATTTTCCAAAAGTTTGATGATCTTCATGTAGAAATTAAATGAATTTGATATTATAATTGGTACTTGGAAGTATTGGTAAGAGCGACAAGGACCAGTGAAAACAGTGGAACGGATCATGAAAGTGAAACCGTAAGGCACAAGCAAGACAGAGGCAGTGTTGTTTTCGTAGTTGCCACAAGCTGAATCCCAAGCTGTCTTGAACGATTCAGTGTCGTCTGTGACACCATCACCGACCGCACCGTATTTCTTCACGTTGTAGACTACTTCGTGGTCGAGATCTTGGGGCGGAGATGGAGATTTTGACGACGGGTCGTTAGGTTTTGGAGAGGGAGAAGGAGGCTGAGACGGTGGCTCTGGTTTTAGGTTGGGATTGTCTTTGTCTGTGTGATGATGTAGTCTTGCTTCAGTTTCATAGGAGAAGAAGGAAAATGTGATGAGAATTAATGTAGTGGTACATAGAATCGGATCACGAGACAGTTTCAACATTTTGAGTTTAGGGTTTGGTTTGGTTTTTTGTATAATGCGATGATTCTTCTTTCTTTTCTCTTGGCTTTTTGTAAATATCCAAGTATATACATGTTGATATATAATTTTATTAATTGAAGCTAACAAGAGAATTTTTTGGTAAATCTTAATTATTTGGACATAATGATGTAAAGACAGCTCAAAGTACATATGTATTAGTATCTCAAATTCATGGCAAAACCCTTATTTGTTGGAGAAATCATTAGCCATAAGCTAAAATGCATATTACTGATACTATTGAATAATGCTCCAATTTAGGCATCAGAACATCGTTGGCGATTTCCAAAGGTTTGACTTTCTAGACTTCATGTGCTCATATATTCCATTAGAAGATTGTGAAGTTTCTATTTCATGTGCAAATAGTATTGTTTTATGTCAACAACTTTTCAATTTTAGGAATAATAATTTTACAGATAGATTCACAGTTTATGATATGCTATAGTTGCTGTTTTGCGAGTTTAAATTATCAAAATACAGAAAATTTTAAAAATCATTTTAGAAAAACAAATGTTTCTAAGTTCTAACCCATTCCAATGGGTGATCCTATCAATGAGTCATAGTTTTTTTAGAAAATTTTTAAAATCTTTTTTATTTCACTTAATTTTTAGAAATAAAGTAGATGCATTTTCTAAATTTTTTAAATTTTATAGAAATAAAGTAGATGAACCAATTAGGAACTAAAATGCCGTGTTTATTTTCTGGCCAACATAAATAAACTCAGAGTCTTAAGTCGGAGATTAAAAGAGTCTTAAGTCGGAGATTAAAATATAGTGACTAGTATGAACTTTTCTTTGTATGACATGAAAACTCTATAAAAAATCAATATGGTAACAGTCACAACAATGATTCTCTGTGCAAAGTCCTGTAAGAACAATGTGATGATGTGTGATGTTGATAAGTTTTGCTGTTGTGGATGTTGTTTAACTAAGTGGTCTTTGTGCTTTTTGCAATCTCTGCAAATTGCTCCAAACTATTCTTGATCAATCCTTGCATTAGCGGTTGAAGCGCCTGAAGAAAGCAAAGATGAATTGTTACATTACATGGTAAATGTTATCAGAAGATAGGATTTGAGACATTCAGTTGTGTTGATTCACTCTCTAAATCATCAAGTATTGATATAAAGAATGCTTGCTTACCGCTGCAAATGGTATAAGTAGCAGGGGAACTTCATATGCAAAGGTTAGCTGCAAACAAAGCAAAGAACTCAGAAAACTTTGTGAAATCATTGGGAACTCGAAAAGCGATGATATAAACAATGAAATCTCACTTCTACTTCACATGATGAAGGTCCTAGTGGGAAAAACCGGACAGTGCCCCTGTAAAAAAGCAAGACCTTCACATCAAGATTGAAGAGATGAATTTTGAGACTCATAAACTCATTGATTCGTTTCAGTTCTGTTACTTGTTAGGAAGGCCTTCTAGAGAAATCCAATGTATTTTCTGATTCGGGAGAGGCTGCAGGAAACAGAATCTATCAAACAATTACGAGAAATCCAAATAAAGAGTATCAAAACTGTTTAACATGTTCTTGTTATCAATGTATACTTACTCAAACTGTTCATTTCCTTACAAAATTAAAAAACTCATAAGAACAACTCTTAAAATCCAGACATAAGAGTGAGTGAAGCTACTTATAAACAATTCAATGGTTCATGATACTTGCCTGCAAGTTCTTAGCAAGCCAAGCGTACTCAAGATTCTGACCAAATGCTTTATATTTCAAGGTCCATCGAGATAAATCGAGTTTGTCCTTCAATACCTGCAGAACTAAACCGGAACATCAATAACAAAATCCAATCATAAAGCCAACAGAAACACTCATCATTACCTTAACGGATGAAATGAATGTCATCCATTTAGGAATTGATTCACGTTCCGAGTAGAGTCCATAAGCAACTGATACAGGCACTTCAACCTTCATCTTTACTCTGAAATTCTCCACAAAATAAAAGATTCAAACACTAAAAGAACCTTCTTGACTCAAAATATAAAACTTTTTTAGACAAATAAAATTCATAGCTTGAATTTGAACAGGAATGATAATATCATACAAAAACAAAACAGCATTGTGAAGAATTTGTCATGAACCGTTAAAAACTTTGACTATCTAAAGCTACCGTTGATAAAAAAGTATTGAACTTGAATCTCCAGAGCAATCATCCATATGTATATCAAAATCAGTCTGCAATTTCGCAAAATATCCAACGCAAGATTCTTACAAAAATGCGATTATGTTTTGTAAATATAGCCAAATTACATGAAGAAACAACAAAAATCCTCAAGAGCAGGGGAAGATAGAATCGCTTACTTGCATTCTTGCCATTCCATGAGAGTATTAAATCTCCTGAATACTGAAGATTTCAAGGACCTATTTGTTGAAATCAAAGGAGAGAATCTAGAATCAAGAGTCAAAGGCTTCATCGGAGAAGAAGAAGGAAACAATCTCGAACTGGGTTTAGCAAAGTTGCTCCGACAACAGAATGTCCGATTACCAAATCCGAAGACGACGGCGTTAGGGTTAGTTACAGAGAGAATCGCCGTCGCAGACATCTTCTTCTTCTTCTTCTTTCTTCGTCGTCGTGTTTTCTGTGTGATATCTGTTTTTCCGGCGGAAGAAAATGTAAAGACTTAATGGCGTACAAGAGTATGAAAGGAGGAGAAGTAACATGCTTCTTTGTTTTGGAACTGCCACGTGTCATTATTTAATTGGTTGCTCAGATTGATTCCATTTTAAATTTTTAAATGGGCTCTTAATGGGCCAAGAAGAAGCCCATTTTAGGACCCGTTGAAGACCTCCGTCTCTCGACTCTCTCTCTCTTTCGCTGAGCAAACTCTGGCTGAGAGAATGGCGGCGAAAAGTAGCAATCGATGCAGTTTCTGGCTTACGAAGAAGAAAAGATCATGCGCCAATACTCGAATCGAGAGTTCCATGTAAGTGAAACTGAAAAGTTTCGTTTTTTTTTTTTTTTCAAAATAGTGAGGAGCTAATTTGACAAAGTTATTAAACAGGTTTTGTGGAAACCATAGCCAGAGATTGGAAGGTCAATGGATTCCATGCCCTATTGATCCTTCTCAGTGAGTCAAAGACTTTCTTTTTCCAATGGTTACAATTTGCTATTTCCTTGCTATTGTAGCAACGGTTTGATTCGAAGTTTGTTAGCTCTGTGTTGCAGGAGAATCTCGAATGGCATGTAAAGAGATGTCCTTTACTTAAACAAACTGTAGCATTGTCTGGTCAACGGTTTTATCAGAAGGGCATTAATGCCGGAAACGAAGAAGAAGAAGAAGAAAAGATGGGTTCTTGTTGTTCAGATTCTCTTGTTACGTCAGAGATGAAGAGAAAGCTTCTCTATAGTATGAGTGTTACTAAGTTTCATCAGCTAATTAAGAAAATTGAAGCTGTTCATGGCGGTATTTGTAAAGAGATCGAAGATTCGTATTTGGCACCTGAAGCTTGTAACATATGGTTTAATAAGGAGATAGATAGGTAAATGGTTGGAAAAGTTTGGAGCTTTGTTCTTGGGTATGGATAGTGCGAGGAGAAGTTTCGTTACTGATACATATTGTTTGGCAGGAAATTACCATTTCAAGAGAAACATGTTTTGCAGCAAGGTTCGATTCTTGGTAACCTGGAAGAGATTGGTGCATTGAAGAGGTGCAACATAAATTTGGAATGTTGTGAAAGTGATCTAAAAGAGAAAGACGATAACAGTGTGTCGGCGGTTGTTGAATTTGGCGCTGGGAGAGGATACTTAACACAGATGCTAGCAGATTGCTATGGGATCAAAAAAGTGTATCTAGTTGAGAGGAAATCTTATAAGCTTAAGGTTAGTTAAGCTTTCCAGTTTGTGTTCATTCTGTTCTTTTCAGTAATCTAGCTTGTTTTTCAATCCACATTTGTTTTATGGCATGTAGGCTGATCGGTCGTTGAGGCAAAAGGAGAACTTAGTATTAGAGCGTATGAGAATCGATAGTAAGGTTCCCATAAACCTTTTCCTGTTTACTTGTTCAGGGTTATGTATTAATGATCGAAAGATAAAACCTTCTGTGTTTTCAGTTGAGGATTTGAACCTTAACGCGGTTGAATCTTTGCATGGTGTCCCTTATGTGGCCGTAGGGAAACATCTCTGTGGTCCTGCAACAGGTCACTACATGCTTTTGTCTTTGCTCTTACACTTTTAGATTCCACTTCATTATGAGTGCCTGTTTTTTGCTAATTGATGTACATTTCTATGCGTTGATAATAGATTTGAGCCTAAGATGTTGTTTATCCAGACAAGATGGTGAAAGCCCGGTACTTAGAGGTCTCGCTATTGCGACTTGTTGCCATCATCTTTGCCAATGGAAAAGCTACATAAGTAAACTCACAGTCACTACTTCTTCTTAGGTCTATCATAGTATCTTAGAACATCTCAATTAATCAAGAGTATGGTTCTGTCATTTTCTTGTCTCACAGATAAAGAATATATCTTGAGCCTAGAGATTTCCAAAGACGAGTTCCATATCATGACTTCGTTCACTAGCTGGGCTGTAGATGATGATCACGGTTCCAATCTTCCCGGTGTTGACGACATTGACCTTCTTGCTTCAAAGTAACATTTCTTGGACTCAAAGATGATAAAGAAGTTACTTCAAATAAGTTATTTCATTTTAATTGCTCTTCTGATGCAGTGCAAAAGAGGAAGAAGGAGCAGTGAGAGATGATTCCTTGAGCAGCGTGGAGGAAGTTGTGAAGAAAATGAAACCCATCGAGAGAGCTGTTTTAGGGTTTAAATGCAAACAGATAATCGATGCAGGGAGGATGAAGTGGGTTAAGAAACATGGGTTAGATTCTAAGCTAGTGAAGTATATCCCTGCAAGCATCTCGCCGGAAAATACTTTATTGATCGCCGGAAAACCCAATCCTTCTGTTGCTTGATGTTGTATTCTTGTTGGTTTTTCAATACATATTGTCTACGACAGCAATTTTGATTGATTTATTTGCAAGTCACAACTTCATTAGCTCTTTCTCTGTCTTTGGTCAAATCCACTGTGTAAGTATTCAAAACCAAATTTCTCACATTCTATTACACATTCATGAATCTCTTCTGTGTCGATTTTTCCACGTAACTAAGGATAAAGATCCTATGAAGACTGCAACGTCATTACACACGCACGTACGGATCAGTTTTGTTCCGTTCACACTTCACGTTCAGTCAAAATAGTCAAACACTTTCGCCACGTCATCAACCCTCTATAAATACTTCAATCAGTTACCACAACCAATTCATCCAAAACTCGACAATGGAAACTCCCAAAGGCACCATCATCTTCACCACCATTGGTCGAACTCACTACGGCTTCGACGTCTTCTCTCTTCACATCGCCACTGCCGCCGAACGCCGCTTAACAGACGGCGTTTCAGTTAACTTCAACGCTCAATTCGTCAACGATAAAAGCGATGATGTCGTTTTTGTTTCGGAACGAAACGGAGCCGCCCGGATTTACAAAACGCGACCCGGAATTTCTGAACCCGAGCAGCTTCCCGGAGCTCCGGAAAGCTACTTCCACGACCGTCCTATCATTACTCAATCAAACAAACTCTATTTCATCTCCGCTCACGAACAACCTGATCGTCATTTCAAGAATTGGTCTGCGCTTTACACCGTGGATCTCAACGGCAAAAAGAGAGAAGTTACACGTGTCACTCCATTAGACACCGCCGATTTCAGCCCGGCCGTTTCTCAATCTGGAGATTTCTTAGCCGTCGCGTCCTATGGATCTCGCTCTTGGGGCGGTGAGTTTCACGAGATCAACACTGATATTACTGTTTTCAAAGCATCTGAACCAGAGACAAGAGTGGTGATTTGCGAGCGTGGTGGTTGGCCGACTTGGTCCGGCGATTCAACTGTTTTCTTCCACCACCAAGCAGACGACGGTTGGTGGAGCATTTTCCGGGTAGATATACCGGAGAACTTCAAAAAATATTCCGATTTCCCAATCACACCGATCCGAGTCACTCCATCGGGACTCCATTGCTTCACTCCTGCAGCTTTCCACGACGGGAAACGAATCGCCGTCGCAACTCGCCGTCGCGGATTCAACCACCGTCACATCGAGATTTACGACCTTGATCACAAAACATTTCAGCCGGTGACTGAGCCACTCAATCCGAGTTTCCACCATTACAACCCCTTCGTATCTCCAGATTCCGAGTTCCTCGGCTACCACCGATTCAGAGGCGAGTCGCCTCAAGGCGAGTCAATCGTACCCAACATCGAATCCATCGTTTCACCAATCAAAACCCTCCGTTTACTCAGAATCAACGGATCGTTTCCATCATCATCTCCTAACGGTGATCTAATCGCACTAAATTCCGATTTCGACATCAACGGTGGCATCAAAGTTGCTAAATCCGACGGTTCAAAACGATGGACGTTGATCAAAGACCGTACAGCTTTCTACAATTCATGGAGTCCAACGGAGCGTCATGTAATCTACACATCTCTCGGTCCAATCTTCCGTCCGGCGGGAATCGCCGTTCAAATAGCTCGAATTAAGTTCGATCAATCAGATCTAACCGCGGATAAAGAAGAGCTTCCTTGTGATGTGAAGATTCTTACTCTAGAGAACACTGGGAATAACGCTTTTCCGTCTTGCTCTCCCGACGGTAAATCAATCGTGTTCCGATCTGGTAGATCAGGTCATAAGAATCTCTATATTGTAGACGCCGTTAACGGAGAATCTAACGGCGGTGGAATACGACGGTTAACGGAAGGACCATGGATCGATACTATGCCTTGCTGGTCACCGAAAGGAGATCTCATCGGATTCTCATCTAACCGTCACAATCCAGCGAACATCGACGCGTTCGGTGCTTACGTGGTGAGACCTGACGGTACTGGATTGAGGAGGATACAAATTTCGGGACCGGAAGGGTCGGAGGAAGCGGCGAGGGAGAGAGTTAATCATGTGAGTTTCAATAAGGACGGTGATTGGCTAGTTTTCACGGCGAATCTCTCTGGAATAACGGCGGAACCGGTGGCGATGCCGAATCAGTTTCAGCCGTATGGAGATTTGTACGTTGTGAAATTGGACGGAACGGGATTGAGGAGGCTGACGTGGAATGGGTATGAAGATGGGACTCCCACGTGGCATACTGCTGATGAATTGGATCTGAGTCGGATGAGTTTGAACGGTCAAGATGGAGACAAACTTGATGGTCAGTTTGAGGAGCCGTTGTGGATTTCTTGCGATATCTGAATGCGATTCTCTTTAATCTATAAAAAGACAAGTCTATATTTATGTAATCTCGCTTTTGTATTTTAATAAAACAAACAAAATAAATGAATTTCACTATATTATTAACACGTGTCTTTACTAAAACAAAATAAATGAATTTTACTATATTATTAACACGTGTCTTTATTAAACATCAAAGCGGGGATAGCTCAGTTGGGAGAGCGTCAGACTGAAGATCTGAAGGTCGCGTGTTCGATCCACGCTCACCGCATTAATTTTTATTTTTTACTGTTTTAGCCCATTGGGCCTTTTCTCTACGTAAAAATCATTAAGCCCACTAACACGCTCTACTAAAAAGGACCAAATGTTCGAATCTCGTTGACTCACTTGCAAATTTGACTACTACTGCAAAGTTTTGTGTTGCCTCTAAACTTTGAACTCGAGTCGGAGTCGGAGTCGGAGCCGCATTGTTGTAGCAAAGCCATGGCGGAAGAAAACAGCCGCCGGAAGTGGAACCCTCACGCCGGTCCATATCTCGGAGAAGTCTCTTCTCTAGCTTTCCTCAATCTCCCTCAACATGTTTCTTCAATTCCTTATCTTCTCGCCGGTTAGCTCTCGTTTAAAACTATTGTAATGAATTTCGTTTCAAATTTTGTTGGAGTTTTGTGATGTAATTAGGGTTTAATTATTCAATTAGGTTCCGGTTCGGAGATTCTTCTTTACGATTTGAGTTCCGGAGAATTGATTCGCTCGTTTCAAGTGTTTGAGGGAGTTCGTGTCCATGGAACTGTTTGTAGCAACAGCTTTATTCATTCGGCGGACCGATATACGTATAAACTTATTATATTCGGAGAGAAGAAAGTGAAGATCTTTTTATTGATTGTTGAATTAGCCTCGAGCTCTGGTGAAATCTCTGTGGATTTGGAAATTTTTGATTCTTTGCCGAGGCTTAGCAATTGGGTCTTTGATGTTTGTTTCTTACAGGTTGAAATCTCCGCTTTTGTATTGTCCGCGTGATTTTATAATGTTCCTTGTTCCTCATGGGTTTGGGTTTGTTATTGTGGTGATAGGACTCTACTGATTCATTGAAAGAAGAAGACAAGCTTCTAGCTATTGGTTGTAGTGATAATTCTCTCAGCATTTGGGATGTTAAAGAATCACGCATGGCTTTTGAAATTCAGTCACCTGGTTAGTTTAACTGTACTTGGGGTTTAAGGGTTTTGATGACTCAAGTTAGAGCTTTTCATTTATTAAGTAATTGCTTGGTTGCAGAAAGGTGTCTACTGTATACTATGAGGTTATGGGGGGACAGTATTTCGACTCTCCGCATCGCTTCTGGCACTATTTTCAATGAGGTAGGCTGACCTTTCTTCCCTTTCATATTTCACCTTAAATCTCCCATTGGTTCTTTGTTTAGTATAGCTGCCATTTCTTGTTTCTATATTGGCGCCTAAGATAGCTTAAGTAAGTGGAATCGACTGGTTGTTGGCAGATCATTGTTTGGAGGACAGTTGGCTTTGATGGTGACAATGCCGAACATGGACATTATTCTGCTTCCCCTATGCTTAGACTTACTGGACATGAGGGTTCAATATTTCGCATTGTATGGTCTTTGGATGGATCGAAACTAGTCTCCGTCTCTGATGATCGTAGGTGAACATTTGTTTTGTGTTTTAAGCATTTAAATACTTCACCTTTCCCTGATTCCTTGTATCAATGTACCTAATTGCATAATCTTTTGCTTTTATAGTGCTAGGATATGGGAAATTGATTCGCAGGAGGTCGTTGGCCCTGTACTTTTTGGTCACAGTGTTAGGGTTTGGGACTGCTGCATCTCAGATTCTGTATGTACCTCGAATGTCTTTGACTTATTATATAAATTTTTAATATGCTCTTATGTGTTATCTGTGTTCATTTGACTATTATGCTAAAATCATTTAAAAATGTGAATGTCAGCGCTTCTGAGGTGGGAAAAACTTATCAGCCAGATTTTAATGAATAGAGATACTGTCACTGTTCTAATTTCAAAGCATATGTTTTTTACGTATAAATCTGTTCTTGCTTATGATCATATACGATTGATGTGCACATTGAAAATTCAACTTATATAACATTGAAAGTGGGTTATTTTCTATTTCAGTTTATTGTCACTGCTGGTGAGGACTGTACATGCCGTGTCTGGGGTGTGGATGGTACCCAGCTGGAAGTGATAAAGGAACATATGTAAGTGGTGACATTGTATTTTTGTCGATCACACTATTCACGTCATGCTTTTTTGTTATTACTGATTAAAAGCCTTTGTTTACTATGCAGTGGAAGAGGCATATGGAGATGTTTGTATGATCCGAACTCATCCCTTCTTGTTACTGCTGGATTTGACTCTACAATCAAAGTACATCAATTGCATAATCGTGGGTCTGAAACGCTGTTAGATGCTGTAGGAGTGCTTAATTCACCAGATAAAGTGGAATATTTTTCAACCTGCCTCCCAAATTCGACGGAGCATACTGGTCTCACTGACAGGTAGTACATGTCCCTTAACAAAATGTTAGTGTCTACAAAATCGTTTTTTGGGTATGGTATGCCAAATGAATACATAAGTTGGTGATATTGAACATGGATGGCAGTAAAGGCAAAGTAATGATAGAAAATTCGAGGAGGCTAAATAAAAATTTGTTAATTTGGATTCATTTTTACTGTAAATATTTAATAAATAAGTTTATGGGGTTTCTTGTGTATATTTGTAAATATGATTGTTTTCCCCTTGCAGCAAGAGTGAGTATGTACGTTGCATGCAGCTCACACAGGAAGATACCATTTATGTGGCCACAAACCATGGTTGCTTGTACCACGCAAGGTTATTGTCATCTGGAAATGTAAGGTGGACTGAATTAGTTCGCATACCTGAAGAAGGGCCTATTATTACCATGGATGTCATGTCTGGCGGAAAGGTACGCGAGTCTTGTGCATTAGATGATTGGGTTGCTCTTGGAGATGGCAAAGGAAATATGACAATTGTTCGGGTTATTGGTGATATATATAACCCACATACTGGCTTGAATCAAAGTTGGAAGGCTAGCCCTGAGAGACAACTTCTGGGGGCTTTCTGGTGCAAATCATTAGGCTATAGGTAATAGATGTTGGACCTGAATGATGATTTTATCTGAATAATTTTCTTGGACAATGCATCCAATGTGTGGAATCATTACGTTGGAAATATTTTTGAGCTTACAGTTCAGTCTCTGGCTTCCAGGTTTGTTTTTTCATGCAATCCTAGAGGACTATTGAAGCTGTGGAAACTATCCGATCCTTCAGAATCTGCTGCTTCTAGTGCTGCTGAAACTTATGATGTCTCCCTCTTGGCTGAATTCTCCTCTTGTTTTGGAAAGCGAATAATGTGTGTTGATGCATCAGTAGAAGATGAGGTAATATCCGTTCCAGTTATTGCCATGTTTCTGTGTTCTATTGCTCTCTTTATACTCTCTAGTTTCAACCGCTGGACTGATGCATATTAATTTTTCACCATGGTCAACTAAATGTAGAGCAAAGAACACCAATCATTCTTGGTTAAGCCAAAACTAGGACATAAATTTTCTCAAGATTATCAAATCTAAAAAGTTTCCAGCCAAGATTTTTGTCTCTTAAGCCTTGTTAAGTTTATAATTTGCATTGAAAGATTGTTGCTTGCAGGTGATTCTGTGTGGAGATTTACGTGGCAATATCACACTCTTTCCTCTGTCAAAGGACATGCTGAACGAAGTTTCTGTTTCTTCAGAATTGAAGATACCTTCACTAAAATATTTCAAAGGTGCCCACGGGATTTCAACTGTTTCCAGTCTTTCAGTTGCTAGATTAACTTCCAACAAAGCTGAAATATGCTCGGTATGACTAATTTAACTACGTTTTTTCATCTTTTGCTGTTGGTATCTTTTTGGTTTGGAGAATAAATCATGCAATCCTCACTATTATTTTCTTGTCACGCTGACAATGACTTTATTTTGTTGATGTTTCTTTTTTTCTTCGCAATCTCATGTTTAGACTGGAGCAGATGGTTGCATATGCTATTTCGAATATGACAGAGAGAGGCAGACTTTAGAGTTCATGGGTTTGAAACAATTGAAAGAGTTGAACTTAGTTCAATCTGTTTGTCAAGGGGTGCAGTTTTCCAAAGACCATCCAAACAATGACTATGCAGCCGGATTTGCGTCAACAGATTTCATATTGTGGAATTTAACAGCTGAAGCAAAGGTCCACCCTTGCCTTCTCCTTTTATTCACCTTCTTAATGCGAGCTGTAATGATATTCTGTCAATAGGTTACACAAATCACATGTGGTGGATGGCGCCGACCCCATTCCTTTTATCTCGGGGAAATCCCTGAGTGGCAAAATTGTTTTGCATATGTGAAGGTGCATCCTTTGTCTCTCGGTTAAAGTTGTTTAGAAATGTTTGGTCTTTGACTGATTGTCAAGCTGCCTCTTTTTTAGGATGATGTCATTCATATTCATAGACACTGGGTTGTGGGACAGAAGACCAAAGTTTTTCCTCTAAATTTGCATACACAGTTTCATGGCAGAGAATTGCATTCGTTATGCTTCATCTCTGCAGATACAAAAGCCGTATTCGATGAAAGTAAAATATCTGATCGGTCTAGTTGGATTGCAACAGGGTGTGAAGATGGATCTGTAAGATTGACAAGGTAGGTGCTAGTTTTATTAAGATTAATTGTGATATTTGATGGCAGTTTAGAAATCATTGTATCTAAATGTCTTAAAGTATGTGGGGTTCATTTAGGTATGTATCTGAGTTTGGAAACTGGTCAACATCAGAGCTATTAGGAGAACATGTTGGAGGCTCAGCTGTGAGATCAGTTTGCTGCGTATCAAATATGCACATAATTTCTTCGGACATGCCTAACGTACCAGACGTGTGTGAACAAGACTCTGCAGTGGATGATAGCGAAATTCCTTGCTTACTGATTTCTGTTGGAGCCAAGCGTGTTGTAACCTCTTGGCTCCTAAGGAATGGTAGACAAAATAAAAAGGGAGAACCTTGTATTAGTGATAATGGACACACTAGAGCTTCATCGGAAGTGTCTTCAGTGACATTCCAATGGCTTGCTACTGACATGCCCACCAAATCTCGTCCTTGTGGAAAGACCGAGAAATCTCCAAAATTGGAAGGAGTTGATGAAGATACTACTGCTAACGTCACAAAGTTAGGATCTAATACGTATCATGAGCGAGAAAACTATGAAGATGACTGGAGATACATGGCTGCCACTGCATTTCTTGTCAAATGTGTTGGTTCCAGGTTAGAGGGACAGCCTTCGCTTACATTGATTGAACCCATCAATGATAGACAATGTTGAAATCTTTTCTGTTCATCTTTTCAGGCTAACTATCTGTTTTATCGCTGTGGCTTGCTCTGATGCCACCCTTACATTACGGGCCCTAGTCTTACCACATCGATTATGGTAACCAGAAGAAGTGTTTTACTTGTTTGATTACTTGGATTTTCAAACTTTGAGTTTGTGTTACATTTTGCTATACTATGCGTCTAATTTCAGGTTTGATGTTGCATCGTTGGTTCCTCTAAAATCTCCAGTTCTGTCATTACAACACGCCGTTGTGCCTCTGCATCCCCCACATGAAGGTTTAGCCATTGATATTAATACTTCTCTATCAGTTGACTTCTTATCAATTCGTTTCCTTTTATGCTAAATGAAATTGTTTTCCCGAAATCATCTTGTCATAATAGTTTTGATAACTTTACGTGACAGGTAATACATCATCTAGTGATGTTTATCTCCTCATCAGTGGGGGCACAGATGGAAGCATAGCCTTTTGGGATGTAACTAAATGTGTAGAAGCTTTTGTAAAGCAAGTATCCAGCATCCATATTGAGAAGTTCATTGATTGTCAGTTACGACCACGAACTGGAAGAGGGAGTCAAGGTGGTAAGAAATGGAAACTGTTAGGCTCCAAAATTTCTAAGAAACCACAAGAGAACAGCAACTCAGTTGGTGAAGCTGCAGAAGAAGATGCAGCCACGTCTTTGGAACTCACAAATGGCGTTCCTCAGGAAAATGATAAATACGAAGGTGCAGATTCTCCTCCCGAGACAAGCGAGATAAAGCCTTCACATGTCGTGAAGAATGCTCATCAATCTGGAGTTAATTGCCTTCATGTTTCTCGCTCGAGCAGTTCTCCAAGTTATGGCAATAGCTTGATGTTCAATGTGATTAGTGGGGGTGATGATCAAGCCCTTCATTGTCTTAGCTTCAACATCCTCAGTAGTAGTAATAGTCCAGCCAAAAAATCTGAAATCATGGATCTAAACCAAACCCCAAGTTACAGAATCAGGCTCACAGACCGTGGAGGTATTGCATCAGCTCATAGCTCTGCCATAAAAGGTACTTTACCCTGAAAACTCTTATGTGGAATTCAAATCATATAATTCTCTACTAGGCTAGTCTTCTCTTTCACCATTTCCCTAATGAAAATACTGAAATCTTGGTTTTGATTCAATGAAGGCGTGTGGATGGACGCGAACTGGGTGTTCTCGACAGGTCTTGATCAACGTGTACGATGTTGGTTTCTCGACAAAGATGGTAAACTGATCGAGCACGCTCATATAGTCATCAGCGTACCCGAGCCAGAGGCACTAGATGCTAAAGCCATTGATGAGTAAGTAAAATGCACTCACACTTCCATGATCCATAAACAAAAAAAAACTTTTCTATATTGCTATCTCACATACCAAATCTGTATACTCAATCTATCTGCAGAAACCGATACCAAATAGCTGTTGCGGGTCGCGGGATCCAGATGGTTGAATTCTCCGGTTAACAAAGCTAGGTTCAGAACCCGGTTTTTGATCCATTTTTGAGGTAATTTGTCCTAAGCTACCCCTCTGGCTTCTGCTAGGATTTTATTTACACCAGTGAGGCCTGTAATTTATACCAAACCAATTTTGAGTGCTCGGTCAGAGTAAACCGGATTTTGATTCCTGGTTCAGTTTGATCATAACTGTGGTTTTGTCGGTGCTCTACTTTTTTTTTTTTTCTTTTTTGGCCGAAGTCGCCGTCGGTGCTCTGCTAAATTCTGGTATGTATCATGTTTCTGAACCCAATTTGATAGTAACATTATTATTGCTCAAGATTTGGGTTATGGAATTGTGACCATGTGGGACCTTTATGAGAGAAATATCAACACTTCACATGACATTATTTAATTCTTAATCTATCAATTCGACTTATTAATAGTAATTAACTTCTTTAGGGATTTGATTTTATTTGATGTGATACAGATGTGGATTTTTTTAGCCGTAATCAGTCAAAATTTCCATTTATACTATTTCATACATATATAAATGTTTATGAGAATTCGATTTCATTTTACGGTTTTTTATAAGATTAATAATGTAACTACAGTATTATTTGACTTTTTTACGACACGAAACTTAAATGTTATTTTGTACTTGTCTCTGTTTTGAATCACTTCTGATAATTGGATCGAGATATTTGCCCACGTAATAATCGTTTACGTGGTTGGTGACCAGATCTTGCGATTCTCTTTAAGAAACAAATTGTTGTTTATTTCAAATACTTGGCATATTCTTCAAAATTTGTTGGCTGATCAAATAAACTATTCTTAAAATTGTGTGTTTTAAAATTTAGTAAAGGATAGATATCTTCACATCATTTTTTTATTTTTATACACCCAAGAAACTCATTGATGATATTATTTTAAGATTCACTAACGGTCGACTGTATCGTGCTTCCATTTACTACTATATGGTACCCATATAGTATTGCTCTTAATTGAGGTGTCGGTTCAATTGTTGTGATCATTATATTTTAACTCTACCTAATAATGCAAATCCTTAATTTTATTTGTAAAATAGTAACTGTGAACTCCAACGTACTTAAATAATGTTTGATTAATTTATAAATTTATATAACTATCAAATGTCATAATAGATACTAGTAGTATATTAGATAGTTTAAGACTGGTCAAAACTTATTTGTACGTGTATGTGTTTTGTGTGCATAAGTTTCGCATGCAACAAATAGTACAATTCTTTCAACTACCTCCTCATCGAAATTTCCTCACACGACTTAGAATTTTCTACGATTTTTGGACTTACAATTATTCCTTAGCACTTAAAGTTGACTGGTAAATCAATACATTAATAATATTATCTACAAAGCAAGTTGTGATAGTTATCCAAAAAAAAAAAGCAAAGCATTTATCTTCCACTATGTTCAAAGGTCCATAAAATTTATGTTCGCAGAACCAAAATTTTTTACCAATATACCACTGTCACCAAGCACAAAATTTTACCAATATACGACATCACAACTAAGTCTATAAAAGAAAAACATCAACTCTAAAACCTCAGATTAAGTAAAAATGTAATGTCGTCTTCATTTTTTTAATTATTTTTTTATTTTTTGTTAGTTACGTTTATCATCGTGCTTTGAACAAAAACATCGTTCTCCAAAAATATAAGTAAAAAAATGGCTGGTGCATTACCAACCCCACTACAGAATCCAGACGAATCAGCCGTTAAGCCGAGCTGAGCCGAATTAGTCTCACGAAATTGTTGGGCTACTGGCACCTCCCGGTTGCTACATTAAATGTTTCTTTTTGTCGACATACACTAATTAATTCAGAGATTCGCTCGCTTACAAACTTTAATGATATTATTTACTATTAGTTTACATTTTGCTGAATATGATAAGTTAGTAGTTTAATCATGGGAGGTTAATTCTTATGTGAAAAAGATTTTTGAGTTTTTTACCCTAAATACGTGTGGGAAAAGAAAATGTTTAAGTGAGGTAGGTCAAATCCGTCACCAGACGGACACTCATCTAAATCCAATTGTTTAATGTGAGATCCAATGACCAATGGTCATCATTTTTTTCTCAACAACGACATAATTATTTATAAGAATGTTTGATAATATATGTTCACCTACCAAAACTATGTCATGAAAGTTTATATTCCACCTTTTTAAAAAATTAATAATAATATTAATCCATTACAAATTGGGTTTTAGGCTATGGGTCTTACATCGGATCCACGGTTACAAAATGAAGAAAATACAGACAATAACACTGGTGACTTGAGATTGGAACTGAGCGGTGGTCGAAAACTGGGAGCCACACTACTACAACCGGTGATTACAGAAAACATTGCTTCGCGGCTACGTCGGCAAGATCGCATCTTTTACCGGAGTAATCGATTCCTTTCGAAAAGCCAATTCTACTGACAAACATGAACCCACAATATTTTTCCCAAAATATTCCACCTTTTCCCAATTATATTAGTTTTTTTATTCATTTTCGTGGCAAATATAAATAATTTTGTTTGTTCTAATCTGTTATATTTAAGACCACCATAAAAAAAAGTTTAAATTTTAGAAACAAAAGAATAATATTTCAAAATACAACATATTTCGACACAAGTATATATGGTATCAAAATCTGTAAAAAATCAGAGCCATGACCGAATGTCAAGTTTATGTGACGTGAGATTTAGAGTTTCATCGAGAAAGATTATAATAAATTAATTTGATTCACTTACCAATTCGGTTTTTTAATTAAAAGCACTGATAACACTAATTAAAAACAAAAAATAAAATAAATGTAGCCGAATAAGCCGATGGAAGTAAAGTAAAATTGAAGTCCAAAAGCAAAAAACCTATAGATCCGGTGGACAGTCAACAGTGTCGTTAATCCCTATAAATAGCTCACTCCCTTCTCATCCACAAATCGTCCCCGTCTCGTCTCTTCCTCGTTCGCTATTAAGATTTTGCTTCGAGGCTCCGAGATCTGTAATCGCCCAATCGCCGCAGGTTTCGCTCTTCTTCTCCGTCTTCGTTTCTTTATCGATTTCATGTTTTCGAGTATTTCGGCGTTCGTTTTTTCTCTCGATTTGACGGGGTTTTGTATTGATTTACCGTCTTAGCTTTGTTAAATCTGCAATGAAATGAGATTTTTCTATGGGTTTCGATTCAGATTTGATAGTATTCGAACTGGATCTGCGATAGTGTGGCTACTGAAATGAGATTCTGAAGTTTTTCGTTAGATTTGATTGAAATGATTAGGTTAGGTTATATGGTTTTTGCCTGTTAAATCTATGAATGATTCGTTTATGATGCACACAGATTTAGATCTGTTCATTTTTGAGTCATGTAGTATCAAATCTTACTTGGCTTGTTTTGAAGTATAGCAGATCTGCATAATGGGTCTATCATTTTTGCATAAGATTTGGATCGTGTGTGTGTATATGATTTGAGTTTGGCTTTTAAATGCTCTTGTACTAAGTCCGAGCCATAAATGAGTCTTCCTTGTTAATTTATTGTCCATGAATAGTATTGAAGTTGCTTAAATGTGAATAAGATTTTTCTGTTTATTCTTCTAATCTTTATCACTTTTACTGTTTCACAACCCATTTTGGGCATCTATGAATATCAGAAGAATCGAATCTCTTTGGATAAGATGCATCTGTTTTTATGCTATTCGACAATGATTTGGAATCTCTAGCTTTTTTATGTCACTTGAGTGTGGAATCTTTTTTTTTCTCTTTTAATTCTTAAAAGTTTATTCTTTTAGTTATATGAATTGATTTATGTGGTTGCTGATTCAATCTTTCTTCTGTTGTTATAGCTTTAAGAGATGGAGACTTTCCTTTTCACATCCGAGTCTGTGAACGAAGGACACCCAGACAAGCTTTGCGACCAGATCTCTGATGCAGTCCTCGATGCCTGCCTTGAGCAAGACCCTGACAGCAAAGTTGCTTGTGAGACATGCACCAAGACCAACATGGTCATGGTCTTTGGTGAGATCACCACCAAGGCTACAATTGACTACGAGAAGATTGTCCGTGACACTTGCCGCTCCATTGGATTCATCTCTGATGATGTTGGTCTCGATGCTGACAAATGCAAAGTCCTTGTCAACATCGAACAACAGAGCCCAGACATTGCTCAAGGTGTTCACGGTCACTTCACCAAACGCCCAGAAGATATTGGAGCTGGTGACCAAGGACACATGTTTGGTTATGCCACTGATGAAACCCCTGAGCTCATGCCTTTGAGCCATGTCCTTGCAACCAAGATTGGTGCTCGTCTCACTGAAGTCAGGAAGAATGGAACTTGCCGTTGGTTAAGACCAGATGGCAAGACCCAAGTCACTGTTGAGTACTACAACGACAACGGTGCTATGGTTCCAGTCCGTGTCCACACCGTCCTGATCTCAACCCAGCACGATGAAACTGTGACCAATGACGAGATCGCACGTGACCTCAAGGAACACGTCATCAAACCAATCATCCCAGAGAAATACCTTGACGACAAAACCATCTTCCACCTTAACCCATCAGGCCGGTTCGTGATCGGGGGACCACACGGTGACGCTGGTTTGACCGGACGTAAGATCATCATCGACACATACGGTGGATGGGGAGCTCACGGAGGAGGTGCTTTCTCAGGCAAAGACCCAACCAAAGTCGACAGAAGTGGAGCTTACATTGTGAGGCAGGCAGCAAAGAGTGTGGTGGCCAATGGAATGGCTCGTAGGGCTCTTGTCCAAGTCTCATACGCCATTGGAGTCCCCGAGCCATTGTCTGTCTTCGTTGACACTTACGGAACAGGTTTGATTCCAGACAAGGAGATCCTGAAGATCGTGAAAGAGACCTTTGATTTCAGACCAGGAATGATGACAATTAACTTGGACTTGAAGAGAGGAGGAAATGGAAGGTTTTTGAAAACGGCGGCGTATGGACATTTCGGAAGAGACGACCCTGATTTCACTTGGGAGGTCGTGAAGCCACTCAAGTGGGACAAACCTCAGGCTTAAGCTTATATTTTCTATCTTTTTTACTTTATAAACATCTACCGTGGACCAATAATTAATCCCTCTGTTTCTGCTTTTTTCTTCTTCTTGTATTCTTTTCTTGCTATGAAAGTTTCTGGTTTGTTTAAACATCTTACCATGAACCATTTTTCTCGTTCACTATAAATCGTAGTAGTTGAAATTTTGTGTTCTACATTTTGGGAGCGATTAATAGTCATCTATAGCGATTGCCAGTAATAGCATATTACATATTCTGTGTTTATATGTCGACATCACACTAAATTTGTTGAGTAGTAGTATTTGACCCGGGTTTGGAAATCGGGGTTTGTGCTTTCGACGGCAAAGAATGATCAAATTGTGCAATTCATATGTCGAGCATGCTTTGCATAAAGTGTATTTCTATCTAAAGTAGAAAACTATCTATCAATCAATGTCAGAAACACAAAAATACACGTATTCTCTTCGAGTACAACACGAAACAACAATCATCCTCAACAAACAATGACATTGCTAAATTATTAAAAAAAAAAACACAGATCATACATTTGATCCGTTCAAAGGTAATGGATATAGAAGTGGAACCCATTTACATTGCCTTTATGAGATTCTTTGTTGTCGGTTCATACATACAATACGTACGAAAACAGAAATATTAATTCGAACTTAAATTATCTTAAGAGACGATCGAAATAATCATAAAAAGTCAATTCCTACATTTTTTTCTTTCTTTCAAAGCTTAAAGTATTCAGCTAAAACATTAAAAGAAAACACTAAATAGCGTTTCTTCTCATAATAATGATGTTTACCTGTAGTCATTATCCGAGTAGTATCATTTAACAACTTTCAACTTGTTTTGTTTTAATGATAAATTGATATGCTTAAGCAGAAGAACCAATAACAATCTGCGTTAAACTGATTATCTGATTCTATAATCAATCTTACCGGTTTAATTAACATTTTCGACTGAATTTTGTGCATGGATTATAAGATGGGTGACTTAGTCAATCGACCTTTCTACTGAATCAAGAGACAAAAAGCGTCAGCTTTTCGAGTCTTTCTCAATGATCTCACCACTGAAAGATTAGTTTGTCCATATCATTTTTAATTTTCTTAATTATATATCTCACCAAACTCAAATGAATGTCTCAGTCCCTTTGTTCATTATCATCCCATATAACAAGATAAATATGAAAATATCTTAACATACATTATTTTCGAAAAATAAGAAAAGGAAAATTGTTAAGAACCTTACCGAGCGTCCGATTAGCGCTTAGCGAATATCTTTGAACAGAATTTTTATAGAGAGCAAAAATAATACATATACATTTATATCATCTCTTATAATTTGAGAGGATAATTCTTTGTATGAATCACTGCTGCTGCTACATATATTCAGTTATTTTTCTTGAAAAAGGAAAAAAAAAAAAAAAAGCAGAGACAGCGAATGTTCTTTTGTCACAAAGGACCACCCAAAAGATCAGGTAATGTGATTTTTCCTAAATTATTAGGATCAAGTTTCTCGAACTGCATCCCAACTTGGTTAATGTCTTTCTCAGTGATCTTCCCCATTTCCTTAAGCTTGAACACTATATACTCTGATTTACTGTGACACACACCATAATCAAATCCAAACATAAGAAAAAAAAAAGGTCAGAACTCTAATCACTCACACTCACTTAAATCATTGAAATAAGATGAAACAATGATATGATAGTTCAATAATTCAATCTCCACTTAATAATTAACTGTTGCTTGCAAGATAAAGTCTAAGATTGACATGATTAGTCTTAATACTGTTGCTCTAAACAACTTCATTGACCTAAATCTGAACACAATCATTCAAAGAAATTTTGCATAAACCCATTTTCAGAAACAGCTCAAGATCACTCTCAACACTAAGCAAAATGTTTACCTGATGAAACCATGATGATAAGTATCAGCTTTGAGCAAATCATCAACAGTGATATCTCTATTCAACGCCAATTTAACAGCTTTCCGATGCCGGCGATCAATCCTCGCTTCCGCCAAATACAAAAACGCACGCGCCACCGCAAGAGTGGAAACAAGAAGCCAAATCGCCGCAAAAAGCCTCCCTTCAAGCGTTTTAAAAGCTCGATCACCATAACCAACGGTAGTCACAGACATAACCGACAAATAAACCGAATCAACAAAACCCAATTCTTCAACAAAATGTAAAACCAAAGCACCAACACCAATACACAAAACGACGACGCATAACGCTAATCCAACTTTCATCCTTATCCTCATCCTCCCTTTCTCAAAATCAATTATGTAATCTTTAGCAGAGAATCTATGGTGATGATGATGATTATGCTTCGTTTGGATTCCGGTGAGAATCATACTCTCTTGAAGATCCAAAACGTAATTAACAACACCACTAAGTAAGATATCCAAGAACCCGAACCCGAATAAAACGAAAACAACAGCGAAGATCTTTGTCCATGGAGTCAACGGAGCGATGTCACCGTAACCAATAGTACACATAGTGACAATACAGAAATAGAGAGCGTCGACAACAGGATGGGTTTCGATACCTGAGTAATGGTCACGATTGAATGAATAGATTGAAACCCCTAAGGTTAAGTAGATGATTAGCAAGAAAACAGCTTGTTGGATTATGGATTTTGAGATTGGTGATGGTTTTTTGGTTTCTTGAGTTTTGGGTCTTAAGTCTTTGATGATTACCATAGCTGGAGCTGTACGACATCTGTGAAGTGGTCTAGTGTTTGACAAAAACCGATTTGTTTCGTCTGAGTCTGAGTCTTCTTCGTTGTCGTTTTGTACGGATTCTTCGAGGTCTTGATGATGGTGGAGAAGACGTTCTTGGGAGATTTCATGGAAGAAGGAAGTGTTTGAGATAGAGCGAGGGATTGTTATGGCGGCGGAGGAGGAGGAGGAGTCTGGATTTTCCGGTATGGGTTGGAGACGGAAACGTGATTGAGGGCTGATGAGAGGTTGGTGATTCTCCATTTACCAACAAATGAGGAATCTCTAAACACTTAATAATTATGAGATTTTTTTTTTTTGGGGACAAACGGAAAAATCCAAAAGAAAAGTGAGTTTTAAGGTGAAAAAAAGTGTGATTGGTGTTTGGATTAACAATTTTTTATACGAGTTTTAAGAGGAGGGATCCACATGCCACGTATGAAAATCAGATTTATCGTCAGACGTTAACCACAATATAGTAGGGAAAAGGGCCTATTTCCACCCCTACAATTTGCACGGTTCCTTTTCCTACCCACACGATGAGACAGTGCTTATTTCAACAGTTTTCGTAACAAATTTCAAATTAACTACCTATACTATTTAGTAAGGTTCGAAATCAACATTGACTTAATCAGACGTTAGTCAATCGTTAATCACGCTGACTCAGACGACACGTAAGATAACACGTAAGCAACAAGGTTCAGTCTTATGAAGCAAAACGACGTCGTTTTGCATTGAGAAGGTCCATAAACAAAACGACGTCGTTTTGATTTGGGGACAAAATTAGGGCTTTGTTCATTGTCTTCGTATTCATCGTGAGCCTGCGTTTAGAGTGAAAAAGAGCAAAGGAGAGAAGAAGACTTGTTGAAGAAAACTGAGAAGGAAAACTACCAGAAGATGGAAGATTGATTTGTGGGAACTGAATTCAAAGCTACAACGAACTGGGATTGTGTTGAATCGGAAAAAATCGGAAACTCAAGCCTACTAAGAAAATATGGAGAAGAAGAGAAACACGAGCTCACTAACCCTAAATCAATAATTTGCAACGAGCTCCCAGGAAGAAGAAGACTGTGAGCAAGAAGAAGATGACTTCTACAAATCCCTAAATCGAGATTTCCCCAAAATATAATCTAAGAATTACAAAACGACGTCGTTTTGTTTAAGGACGACTTCAATGCAAACGACGTCGTTTTGTCAAATGCTATGCCACATCGTCTTTGAACTGCCACCGTGTCATCCGACTAATCTATTTTAACGGTTGACTAACGTCCGTTTGAGTCAATGTTGAATTTAACTATAAACACAGAGTGTAGGTAGTTAATTTGAAATTTGTTACGAAAACTGTTGAAATAAGCACTGTCTCATCGTGTGGGTAGGAAAAGGAACCGTGCAAATTGTAGGGGTGGAAATAGGCCCTTTTCCCCAATATAGTAACTATAGTTCAAAGTTTCACGCATTTAGTAAGTAGAGCAATGTCCGGATTGACTTTCTTTATAGAAAAGTCTCCGTTCGATTACTTAATAAAATGGTGTTTGACAAAAAAAAATGTCATATTCGATTTGAGCTGCTATGTGCTTTCATCTTCTAATTGAAAAAATTTAGATACTAATGAGTTTATGTAATCTCGCATTTAGTACGTAGGCTATGTAAAAATATTCTTCTTTTTTCTTCTTCTTTTTATTGTTTTCGTTATCCGTTTTGATCCTATTCAAATGTCCGTTTTGAATTTCTGTAACTTCATTAATTTTGATTCTAACTTTATTTGAAATTGAAAATTGGCTAGTTATTTCAGTGAAACCGTTGTGAGATCATTTCTTTAACAAGGATCGGCCCATAGTGATGGACCGTCTAAAGCAAAAAAAATTGTAAATTTGTTGTCCATAAATATAAAAAAGAGAGAACAAAAAGTTACTACTTGGGGGCTGAGGAATTTGGTGAGAATGTGAGACTGGTGGCTAATTTCTTTCTGCATTCTATAAATTCAAGCAAACATTTGTAAGAAAAAAGTAACTTCGTTAACCAAAGGCAATAGAAAAACCAGAAATTACAAGAAGCTGGCTACGTTTTAGTATTCGATAACAATATAGGTCCATAACTAGGCCTATTTTTGTCGACTGATTAGGCCTACATAAAGGCCCATTCGAATTATGCCTGATTAAGGCTTAAATATACTAATTAACCTCACAAAAAGAAAAAGTGGAATACACGACCGAGTTGAGGAAATGCAGAAATTAGTAGACCCCATGACACAAAACAAAAGTCAAGATTGATATGTTGTATTAAGGAGTTTTATTCTTGAAATAATACAAGTCACTTAAAATAGTAGGGTCATTCATTAAAACTATGTTAAACAACTAATCGTGTTTAATTTCTTCTTAGCGGCCCAAAAAATAACAATAAAATGTTCCACGCTTTTGCCTCTTAATTTTTGTTTATGTTACCTATAAGAACAAACATTTTTAAAATAATACTATTATTGATCTCATTCCCCACAAATACCCCAAAAATAATCAACATTTTAACTATTACTTTTTGATGATTGTTCACATGTTATTATGATCTTTCTTTCAATGTTTGGCTTTCCCAGACTTTGTTTCATTGATGATACTTGGTGGTGAGTCATTTCTCTAAGTAAATCCAGCCCAAAACACATAAGGAGATGAAGATGGGGATATTGCAAGAGAACACAAAGACTGTACCGTTCTACAAATTGTTTTCCTTCTCAGATTCTACCGATGTGTTGTTGATGATCATTGGTTCGATAGGAGCTATCGTAAACGGTGTTTGTTCTCCGTTAATGACATTATTGTTTGGTGATCTCATTGATGCATTGGGTCAAAACCAGAACAGCGAAGAGATTGTTGAGATAGTTTCCAAGGTTAGAAAAAAGTGTTACTAAAAAAGAAATTATCTTTTGAGTTGCTTTTTGATGATTACTTTATTATGTTTAGGTTTGTTTGAAATTTGTCTACCTTGGACTTGGAGCACTTGGAGCAGCCTTTCTTCGTAAGTTAAAACAGATTTTAGTTTTATTTTTTTAAGGAGAAAAGCAATTTTTTTTTTTTTTTCGGTTATAGAGGTGGCTTGTTGGATGATTACTGGGGAAAGACAAGCTGCAAGAATAAGGAGTTTGTATCTGAAAACGATTCTAAGACAAGACATTGGATTCTTCGATGTCGAAACGAGCACCGGAGAAGTTGTTGGTCGAATGTCGGGTGATACTGTTCTTATACTTGATGCTATGGGTGAGAAGGTAAACAAACAAAAAGACCAAAGAAAAAAAAAAGCTTTTCTAATAGATTTTAAAGTTTTGAAATTTCTTTCAGGTTGGGAAGTTTATACAGTTGATTGCAACATTCTTTGGTGGATTTGCTATAGCGTTTGTGAGAGGATGGTTACTTACACTTGTTATGTTGACCTCAATTCCTCTTCTAGCTATGTCTGGTGCAGCTATGGCGATTATAGTTTCGAAAGCTTCGTCTCGAGAACAAGCTGCTTATGCGAAAGCATCAACTGTTGTTGAACAAACTTTGGGGTCTATTCGAACCGTAAAAATTCTTGCTTTTCTTTTTTCTGTTTAGGGCCGGGTGATGTTCATCAAACTTTTTAACCAAGTGTTTGTGTGTTTTCTCTAGGTTGCTTCTTTCACGGGAGAGAAGCAAGCGATGAGTAGCTACAGAGAGTTGATAAATTTGGCCTATAAATCGAATGTTAAGCAAGGTTTCGTTACGGGTTTAGGTCTTGGAGTACTGTTCTTGGTGTTCTTTTGTACTTATGCTTTGGGTATATGGTTTGGTGGTGAAATGATACTCAGAAAAGGGTATACAGGTGGTGCAGTGATCAATGTAATGGTCACTGTGGTCACGAGTTCGATGTGAGTAGTGACTACACCATATATATATTCTTCTCTAAAGTCTCAAGACAGTTAAAACGCTTTTTTGTGATTTCTTTTCTTTTATTTTCTTTGTATAGGTCTTTAGGGCAAGCAACGCCTTGTCTAACAGCATTTGCGGCTGGTAAAGCTGCAGCTTATAAGATGTTTGAAACAATCGAAAGAAAGCCTTCGATCGATACTTTTGACCTAAATGGGAAGGTTTTTGAAGATATCCGAGGCGAAATCGAGCTGAGAGATGTGTGTTTTAGTTACCCTGCAAGGCCTAAAGAAGAGATTTTTGGCGGATTCTCTCTGCTGATTCCGAGTGGCGCAACCGTTGCTTTGGTAGGAGAAAGCGGGAGTGGCAAATCTACTGTGATCAATTTGATTGAAAGGTTTTATGATCCGAATTCCGGCCAGGTGCTTATTGATGGTATTAACTTAAAGGAGTTTCAGTTGAAATGGATTAGGGGAAAGATTGGATTGGTTAGTCAAGAACCTGTTTTGTTTTCTTCTAGTATAATGGAGAATATCGGGTACGGGAAAGAGAGTGCAACGGTTGAAGAGATTCAAACAGCAGCAAAGCTAGCAAATGCTGCTAAGTTCATCAATAAGTTGCCTCGAGGTTTAGAGACTTTGGTAGGGGAACATGGAACTCAACTCTCAGGAGGACAGAAACAGAGGATTGCTATCGCGAGGGCGATACTTAAAGATCCGCGGATCTTACTGTTAGATGAAGCAACTAGCGCTCTTGATGCAGAATCCGAAAGAGTGGTTCAAGAGGCTTTAGATAGGGTAATGGTGAACCGGACTACTGTGATTGTCGCCCATCGGTTAAGCACAGTGAGAAATGCTGATACAATTGCTGTGATTCACCGTGGAAAGATAGTGGAAGAAGGTAAATAACATTACTGCATTTCGGTTTCGGGT